GAAAGCCCGTATCTATAGCTCTGTATCTTTGTTGGAAATTGAGATTTCTTCTCTGTATCAGTTACTGACTTAGATCCTCTTAGCAAAAGTAGGATATTTCAGAAAGTTTCCTCATGTCCTTTTCCAGTCATTTCTCTGACTGAGAGATAAGCACTGTTCTGATATTTTCATGGTGGATTAATTTTGCCAGCCTCAGAACGCCTTATGAATGGAATAATGTAAATATGAATGCTATGTAGTTTCTTTTACTCAGCATAATATCTGTGAGGTTCATTTGTGGTTTTTTTTTTTTTTTTTTTGCATCTTGCAGCACTTCCTACGTTTTTATTGCTAAGTAGTATTTTTTTTTTGAAGATTTTATTTATTTATTTGGGGGGGGAGAGAGTGTGAGCATGGGGTGGGGGGTGGAGGGTGGAGGGAGAAGGAGAAGCAGGCTTCCTGCTGAGCAGCGACCTTGATGCCGAGCTCCATCCCAGGACCCTGAGATCATGACCTGAGCCAAAGGCAGATGCCCAATGGACTGAGCCACCCAGGCGCCCCTATTGTTAAGTAGTAGTGCATTTTATCAATAAATTGCAATTAGTTTATCCATTTTCTTAGTGGTGGACTAGTGGGTTTTCAGCTTTGGAGTATCATGAAGAAGGCTGCTATGAACATTCTCCCATAAGGTTTCTGTCTGTATATGTTTTTATTTTTCTTGGATAAATAACTAGATGTGAAATTCCTGCATCAAAGGCTAGTGTATGGGTATCTGTTTAACACTTTTACATTTCCTCCAACAATTTATATGATTTTCTCAGTTGATTCATATCCTTTCCAATGTTTGGTGTTGATAGTCTTCTTAATCTTAACCATTATTGTGGGTATGAAGTGGTCTGTCATAGTGGTTTTAACTTTTTTTTTAAGATTTTATTTTCAAGTAATCTCTATACCCAATGTTGGGGCTCAAACTTAGAGCCCTGAAATCAAGAGTTACATGCTCTACCAACTGAGTCAGCCAGCAGTGCCTTGGTTTTAATCTTTATTATCCTAATTACAAATGATGTTGAACATCTTCTCCTGTGTTTATTAACCATTCACATATCTTCCTTCATGAAGTGTCCATTCATGTCTTTTGCCCTTTTTTTTTTAATTTTTTTTTAAGGTTTTATTATTTGACAGAGAGACACACAGCGAGAGAGGAAACACAAGCAGGGGGAGTGGGAGAGGGAGAAGCAGGCTTCCCACAGAGCATGGAGGCTCTATCCCAGGATCCTGGGACCATGACCCGAGCTGAAGGCAGATGCTTAACAACTGAGCCACGCAGGTGCCCTGCCTTTTTTTTTTTTTTTTGTATTGGATTGTTTGCTTTGTATTTGTTGAGTTGTAGGAGTTCTTTATATATTCTAGGTACAAAGCTTTGTCAGACACATCTTTTACAGTGGCATATATATTTACTTTCTTAGTCATATCTTTTGATGAGTGGAAGCTTTTAATTTTTATGTAGTAAAATTTATTACTTTTTCTGTTAAAACTTTTGTAGTTGTAGCTTATACAGTTAGGTCTATGATCCACTTGGAATTAATATTTTCATGGTGTGAAGTATAGATCAAGGTTCATTTGTTCATTTGTTTTCCATATGGATATCCACTTTTTCCAGCACTGTTTGTTGAAAAGACTTTTCTTTTCCCCATTGATTGCTTTGTTACCTTTGTTGCAAATCAAATGACTGGAAAAAGATCTATTTCTAGGCTTTCTAGTTTTGTTCCATTGGTCTATGTGGAATTGTGTATATTAATACACTTTGAAAAACTACATAAAGTGTTTATTAGATATTGGCATACATAGGAAAAATCTTTCCCATACATGTTTTGCTAGCATTGGAGATCTTATGGTCAGCTTATAGCCTATGACATTTGGAGGCTTTTCAGCATGGTTCTCTACATACTCTATGATACTGTGTGTGTGTGTGTGTCATGTGAGATTGATGTTCACTTTTAATTCTTTTACATTTGTTTTAACTATGAGAAAGCTCTTGTTTTAGTGCAGAGTTTTGAGACTAGTAATAACAAAAAATTCAGACACGTTTTTTCTTAAGGTAACATAGTTATATATGTTATAAAGATCTCAACAGAACTTCATCACACTGTCCACCAAGAGATGCCTTGGGTCCTTGCAGTGGGAAGGGGAAGAGGAAGAGAAGATGTAGCCACATAGAAAATGTAGTCTAGAACCTTGCTCGTCATATCATTATTTCTGGACTATGTATCAGCCATATTCAAATATTTATTAGCACTGTGCTGAATGATACGGGAATTTTACCCTCGGGGAATTTGCCAGTGTAGCTGAAGAATTAAAAAAATTGAAGTAAACATAATACAAAGTAATATGTGATTAATGTTTGCTTTAAGGTCATTGAGAGAATTTTAAATATCTTTATTATAATTGTGTTGTGGACCTCAATCATTATTCTGAATTACAATAAATCTAAAAGTAAAAAAAAGATAGTTGCAATTTACCCACAGAGGGGAGAAGGTAAGGAATTATAAACTGGAGAGAGTGGATCTCGAATATAAATCTATGTTGTTGGATTTGATTAAGCATCATTTATAAATTAAAATTTTTATGTTTAGGTGAACTACAGTTATATGTTTATGAAATAAACATGTACTTATATGTGAATAGATTTTTATGCAGAATTCGTCAGAAGTTGAATTATAGAGGCTGAACTTTAGGAAATAAATTAAGGGTTGCTGGAGGGGAGGTGGATGGGGGAAGAGATAATTGGGTGATGGGCATTAAATTAAGGTGGGCACTTGTAATGAACATTGGGTGTTATATGCAACCAATGAATCACTAAATTCTACCTCTGAAACTAATAAAAAAATATAACTGGAAAAAGAAGTTGAATTATAAAGAAGTCCTAATAAAAGAGGCATTTAATCTTCCTGTTTATTGTATTTCATCAGTTTTAAGATGGACCCCTATCCCCATACATCTTTTAGCATGTTTTAAAATCAGGTTGTGATTCTTAGTCTGGCCAGCGCGGCAGTCTGCAGTCATTGTATGAACATGTATAAACATCAAAAGTGTTGTCATATGCCTGTAGAGTAAAATCTGTGCTTCTTAAAAAAAAAAAAAATAGAAAACACTTTTTTAAATATATTTAATTTATTAATTTGAGAGAGAGAAAGCGAGAGAGAGCATGAGTGGGATAGAGGGGCAGGTGGGGAGAGAGAGAAGCAGACTCCCCACTGAGCAGAGAGCCCGATGTGGGGCTCAATCCCAGGACCCTGGGATCATGACCTGAGAGCCACCCAGGTGCCCCTAGAAAACACTAAAATACTACTTTAACGTTGCATTAATGGTTGTGGGGAGGAGATGGGAAAGATAGGCTGGACCTACTTAATTGCAAAGACTGCTTAACAAGGGGCTCTTTAGTTGTTTTATGGATTCTTTTAAGAACTACCAATCTCAGGGCGCCTGGGTGGCTCAGTCATTAAGCGTCTGCCTTTGGCTCAGGTCATGATCCCAGGGTCCTGGGATCGATCGGGCTCCCTGCTCCGCAGGAAGCCTGCTTCTCCCTCTCCCACTCCCCTTGCTTGTGTTCCCTCTCTCACTGTCTCTCTCTCTCAAATAAATAAATAAAATGTTAAAAAAAAAGAAAACCTTAAAAAAGAAAAAAAAACTACCAATCTCAATGGCACATGTGATTTTTTGTAAGGAAGAACCAGGAAATACCGAAGGCTTGGAGACAAAATGACCCAAATTTGGTCTGTGACTTTTTATAAAAACACAAAAATGATATGAGAAAATCAGTGTTTAAACCCAAAACAGTTCTTAAAATCAGTATGAAATATAAATTCCAAATTCTAAAAAAGCATTGATGGAATTTGATAGTAATCTTTGTAGGGGTTTTTTATCCTTCCTTTGACACTTAATATTCTGTGTTATTTATTATACTCTTTTATTATTTTCATGTAAAGTGGTATAGTCACTCAGTAATGGGTTATTCTATTTCCACTCAACTAGCTCTGACTTTGGACAGCTGTTTAACTTCTCTGAGCATTGGTTTGAAAACTAAAATGAGATTACATTTACCTAGTAGCATTTTTAAGTTTATTCTTTTCTACTTAAATTCCAAGAGCTCACACATACATTATCTATTTGAATCTCGTAAAGTGAAACTTTGATGTTAAGATAATGTTCTTCTGATCTTTTCAAACTAGAGAACAGAAAAAGGTATGTTTCAGTAGTGAATGTAAGTAACTTTGTTAACTAGTAGGGAGTGAGGAAACAGAGGCAGATCAATGTCTTTCAGAAGGCACAAGGTTGAACATTTTACTAGAAGATGTGATATGGCAGTCAGATGCTTGCAGCTCTGTGAAGAATCCCTGCAAATGCAATTCACAAATATAGCTTGATAAGGATTGTTTTGTAGGCTACTCACTGGCATTGCTATTGATGATGTGACTTTTTTCCCTAAATAATGAACGATTCTTGATAAAGTTATAAACAAAAATAAAATACAAATTTTCTTGACTTACACAGAAGTTGTAGTTTGAAAATAATTCACTTTGTTGTAAAATAGCAAGGAAAAAAGACTTTGTATTTATGTGTCAAATGGGCTTAGGTTCTAGGTTAATGTAATTACAGCGTTTTTAACCTATTCAAACATCCAGCTGGAAATTTGGAAGTCTAGACTATTTGTTATGCAGGTCTTTTTGGTGCGTTACAGGTTATCCTGCAATCCTGACCTCTTTCCACTAAATGACAGTAGTCATCTTAATCTTCTTGACAACTAAAAAACATTCCCTCTGATTTTAACACTTCCCAAACTTTAACATGCTTGTTGAAAACTAATGGTTTTAGATATGTGAAAGGTGAGGAAATTAAGTACCAGAGAAAGAAATAATTATGCAACTTATTTGTAATTATTCAGTGACTAAATTTTATTAAAGTTGATAATTTGAAACTTTAGAAATTAAGATGGCTGTATTGTATGTTCTTATTTTTCCTAGTAAAATGAATGAAAATAAACCTGGTGCCTCACAGAATCTTGGTAAGTAAAATACTTAAAACATTTTCAAATATAATTTAAAATATTAAGATATTTTACTCTTGCTTTTTTATTACAATAAGACTTTTTAGAATGCTGGCTCAAAATATAGGAATGAGTTTGCTGATCCATGCTTTTGTTCACACATCTGTATACGAAAACATGTATACATTTTGAAATGAATACATTACATGTATTCATTTCAACAAAAATCTGTCAGAGGACAATTTGCCAAATTTTATCAGGTATGCTTTGTATCTGAATGAAACAGCATTGTTTATTTGATAAACAATTTTTTTCATCTTTTTGTATGACTTTTTCTTATATAAGGAAAAATGCAGGCAAGGCCATTTTAAACAATACACAAAACTTAACATGAAAAGGAAAACTTACCTGTAGGTGCTCATAACAATCTCAAATAGATTCAGAGACCTTTGCTTTTAGTTGTTGATTTCTTCATTTATTAGTTTTAACAGTATATATTATTTTGCTACCATGGAAAATGAGAAATTTAAATTGTTATTTTATATTCTTCTACCACTACTCCCCTCATCTACCCTTTTTAAGATTTATTTTTTGATTCCCTCACAAATTAAAATATACTTAAAACTCTATCTTGACCATCACTAATAGAGAATATCTGTTAACACCACATCATGTTGGATAAGGAAATTTGCTCTTATCCTCCCTCTACTTTGCTTTTCTGCTTTTACCTACAGACTTCTATCCACTGTGCTAATTGTTCTGAAACTTAGTAATTCATGGTCTACTTCATGTATTTGTAGACTGCAAATACTACCTTTACTATTATTTACTTAGTATTTTTCCTAAGATTGACTCAGTTTTTTTACTTATGTGTGTATGTCATTATTTTATTTTTTTAAGATTTATTTATTTATTTATTTGACAGAGAGAGAGAGAGAGACAGCGAGAGAGGGAACACAAGCAGGGAGAGTGGGAGAGGGAGAAGCAGGCTTCCCATGGAGCAGGGAGCCCGATGCGGGGCTTGATCCTGGGACCCTGGGACCATGACCTGAGCCGAAGGCAGACGCTTAATGACTGAGCCACCCGGGCGCCCCTATGTCATTATTTTAATACAGCCAGTATCATTTGCCATAGTTAGAAGGTGATCTATTTAATATAGTGAAGTCAGAATAATGTTACTGAATTGTAAATATTAGAATTCAAAAACAACAAATACAAACAAAAGCAGTCTACTTATAAAAATGCATGCCTGAAACCTAGTCTGTTCTGCATCCAGTGTCTCCATATCTGGATGAAGGGAGGAAGGGAACAAATGGAAAAGCTACTGGTCCAGAGCGTAATAGCAAATGCAGCTCCATCTACTGCTCATCATGAGTACTTCCGTTCTGTAGTCTCAGCTCATTCCTTGTATTCCTTTTCCTCTTGATAGCTGCATGCACACTTAGAACTAACAGTATAGGCACTGGGAATGAAGGAATTAAGATGAGAGCTGCTGGTATAAGATGTCCAATAAACAAATGGCAATTTGCTAGAGTTGATGTGGTCAGAACGAAGGAGAGTTGAAATCTTTTGAAAGATTGAGGAAAGGGCTTTCAGTTACAGCTTATCTCATTAACCTATAGTGAGGGAGGGCAAATATAGGGGAGATATTTTAACGACATTAAATATTAGCTCATGATGTTTTTTCCAGTCCTGGAATCTATTTTGTGAGTAGTCTGTTAACAAATGTACCATTTCAATGCATAACATTCATTCTTGATCACATGTATTACTAAATAATTAGTAATAAGACTATTTTAAGCTAATAGTAAATAAGATTAGCTACTGTAATAGATAAATGCTGAGGTCCTACTGGCTTAACACAATAAAAGTTTATTACTTGGCTTATGTTACAATTCAGTGTGGATTGGTTAGGGGAGTTGGGGCAAATGGGGAGTTTCTGCTCCATGCAATCACTTAGAGATTCAAGCTCCTTTCATCTTGTATTCATCTGCTGCCTTGAGATTCTCAGTCTTTTCTTTTCAGCTAGTGTTTTTCTCATTGTTTTATTAGAAATTTTCTGTATAAGTAAACATCATAAGTTAGAAAAGATTGATAATTATACTAATGTCTATTCAGTTATATGTACCTTCCACACCCTTTTAATTATACTTGACTTGTCCAGGGTTACACAGCAAGAGTGTAGTGCCAAGATTTAACTCAGATCTCCCTGACTACAACTTGCCTTTTAAAAACTATTATTGTTATGGTAAAGTACACATAACATAAAATTCACCATTTTTTTTAAAGATTTTATTTATTTATTTGACAGATACAGCAAGAGAGGGAACACAAGCAGAGGGAGTGGGAGAAGGAGAAGCAGGCTCCCTGCCCAGCAGGGAGCCGGTGGGAACCATCACCACTATCTAGTTCCAGAACATTTTCATCATCCCCAAAGGAAACTACCTATTAAGCAGTTACTTTTCATTTCCCTTCTCCTTGGTCCCTGGAAGCCCCCAATCTGCTTTTTTGTCTGTCTCTGTGGATTTACCTATTCTGGATAATGTAATCTATTATATAAATGGAGTCATATAGTATGTGACCTCTTGTGCTTGGCTTCTTTTACTTAGCATAATGTTTCTAGGCTCATCCATGTTGTAGCAGTTATCAGTACTTCATTTCTTTTTACGGCTGAATAATATTCCATTGTATGGATATAACATATTAATTTATCCATTCATCCATCCATTGATACACATTTGGTTTGTTTTCCCTTTTTGGCTGTTGAGAACAGTGCTGCTATAAATATTAGTATACAAGTATTTGAACATCCATTTTCAGTTCTTTGGCATATATACCCAGGAGTGGAATTGTTGTGTCATACATATGTTATACATATGTAACTATGTTTAAGTTTTTGAAGAACTGTCAAATTATTTTTCCTAAGTCCCTGTACCATTTTACATTTCCACCAGCAGTGTGTGAGGATTCCTGTTTTTCCAGATCCTTGCCAACATTTGTTATTTTTTGACATTTTGATTATAGCCATCCTAATGGATGTGAAGTAATATCTCATTGTGGTTTTGATTTGCATTTCCCTGATGATTAATGATATTAAACAGCTTCTAATATGCTTATTGGCTATTTATATTTTTTCTTTGGAAAAATGTTTATTCACATCATTTGCTCCATTTTAAAATTGGTTTGTGTTTCGTTGTTGAGTTATAAGAATTTCTTATGCATTTTGGACACTATACCTTTTTTTTTTTTTAAGATTTTATTTATTTGACAGAGAGAGACACAGCGAGAGAGGGAACACAAGCAGGGGCAGTGGGAGAGGGAGAAGCAGACTTCCCACTGAGCAGGGAGCCCGATGTGGGACTCAATCCCAGGACCCTGGGATCATGACCTGAGCCGAAGGCAGACGCTTAACGACTGAGCCACCCAGGCGCCCTTAGACACTAGACCCTTAACAGTTATATGGTTTCTAAATATATTCTCCCATTCTGTAGATTGTCTTTCCACTCTCTTTAGTGTCCTCTGCATAAAAGTTTAAAACTTAGATGAAGTCCAATTTATCTATTTTTTTTTTCATTTTTACTTTTGCCCTTGGTTTCATGTGATCTCTAAGAAACCATTGCCAATCCAAGGTTATAAAGATTTACCCCTATATTTTCTTCTAAGAGTTTAGTTTTGGTGCTTATGTTTAGATCTTTGATCTGTTGTGCTTTTTAAAAGATTTATTTATTTATTTGAGAGACTGCGAGCTGGGGGAGAGGCGGGGTGGGGCAGAGAATCTTAAGTAGACTCCCCGCTGAGCACAGAGCCTGATATGGGGCATGATCCCAGGACCCCAAGATCATGACCTGAGCCAAAATCAAGAGTCAGACACTTAACTGACTGAGCCACCAAGGCACCCCATCTTTGATCTGTTTTGATTTAATTTTTGTATATGGTATCAGGTAGGGGTTAGGTTTCATTATCTTGCATGTGGCTATCAAGCTGTCCTAGTACCACTTATTGAAGAGACTGTTTTTCCCCAATGAATGACCTTGGCATTCTTGTTCAAAATTAATTGACCATAGATATATATGTTTATTTCTGGCCTCTTTTCCTCTATTGATCTATATCACTGTCCTTATGCCACTACAACACTGTTTGGATTTCTGTAGCTTTTCCCTAAGTTTTGAATTTACTCTTTTTTTCTAGGTCAGTCTGGCTAAAGTTTTGTCGGTTTTGTTGATCTTTTCAGAAAACCAACTTTGGTTTTCATTGATTCTCTTTTTCTATTTCATTTATCTATGCTGTAGGGTTTATTTTTTCCTTCCTTCTGCTAGCTTTTGGCTTAATATGGTCTCATTTTTCTAGCTCTTGTAGGTTAAAATTGTTACTGATTTGGGAGTCTTTTCTTTTTTCATATTGGCTTACGTAAACATCAGCCAGAGGTGAAAGCTTAGGGTTTCTGGGGTCTTTTCTGAGCACGCATCCAGCCTTGAGCATATGTGCGTCCTCTAGATTCCCCGTTATCTGTGGGAGCTTTTCAAAGCCCTTATTTACCCATATATCCCCTTTTCCCAGCTTCTTTTGTAGGTCTTTTGGTCTGTCACCTGCTTGTCCTATCTTTTACCCTTAACTCCAAGCTGCTTCATCTAGTGTATTTGTCTTAAACACTTTTGACAGAGAAAGTTCTGAGGCAGGCAAAACAAGGGCAAGCATCTGAGCCCATCCCTCAGGGATCCACCACGCAGATCAAAACACACAATCACTTTTCTTTAAGAACAAATTTCATTTTACCTCCTCTTGGACAATCCAAACCATTTTACCTCCTCTTGGACAAATCCAAAATGGGCCATCGAACCTAAGGCCATTCATTGCTCAGCTGGAGAGTGGGGGATGGTAGGCAGGTAAGTTAAAATGCTACAAAGTGCTCATCAGAATTTACCATTCTGTTTCTTTATTGAGCATTCTCCTAATTGTTGTAAGTTTTTAAAATTAGATTTCGGAATTTCTGAAAAGTTGATTCTGACAGTTTTTGGCAGCTTAATTTGTTGCTTTAGTGGGGAGATAGAGTTTTAGAGTTTTCTAATCCATTATTTTCTGTGATGTTGGCCTACAAGTTGCCATTTTAATTATATACTGGAATTCATTATTAAAAATAAAAATGTAAAGTCGAAAACAATGATGTTTATTGCTTTAGAAATAAGTGTTAAAAATTTTAAGTTACTGATAATAATATAATGTGATTTGCTCTCAGAAAGAATTGAATACATCACTTGAGAGAAGCTCCAATTCCATAGGTTTTATTTAAAAAATTTAAAAATATTTTTATATCTATTTGCTTTTTTCACTGTTAGCTTGTGTTTTTTGTCGAAAAAATGATGACTGTCCTAATAAATACGGAGAAAAGAAAACTAATGAGAAATGGAATCTCACTGTACATTACTATTGTTTGGTGAGTATAATTTATAATTAAATCCTGGAAATTTGATACTCTTCTAAAGAAGACAGTTAGATTTTGATGGCTGGTTTCTGAGAATTGGATAAGTCACTTTGCTTCTCTGGATCTCATTTTGCCTATACGTAAAATCAGGTTTTTCATCTCTCAAATTCTAAGATTGTGAAATTATTTGGTATGTATGAGGGAAGACCTGTCATCATTATCTGTTTATTTTTGCCTAACCCTTTAGAGCCTAAATGAAAAAAGGAAAAAATGGTTAGGTCTCTAAGGGAGTTTATCTTTTTACCACTTTCTTGTTTCCATTGTTGCTAGTGATAAATCTCAGAAAAGAGTTGTTTGAAGGTTCAGGGAGGAGAAGGAAAGTATTTTATTTTGCAGACAACCTAGAAAGAAAAGCTCTAAATAAAGGTAGTAAATATTTGTGGACAAGGAAACAGGTGAATTTATGGGTCACTCGGAAGAAAGAAAAAGTGATTTCATGTTGAGAATTAGTCTCTCATTTGTTTCCCCTTCCCTCCACCAACTTTTCACCTCACTAAATCTGTGCCTTAAGATCTTAATGGCACCATCATTGCCTTAGCCTGCCAAGGCTGCAGTTAATAGACACAATATTTCTTGATACTGTATGAGTTATATATTGCCACTTAACAAATTATCCTGAATTTTAGTAGCTTAGACAGTTATTATCTCAAACATTTTCTGAGGGTCAGGAATCTGGTATTGGCTGAACTGGATAGTTCTGGCTCAGGGGCTCTCATGAGGTTGCAAGTGAGATGTCAGCCAGCATTCAGTCATATGAAGGTTAGACTGGGCTGGAGGATCCACCTCTGATGGCTCTCTCACATGGCTTTTGGCATTAGTACTTACTCCCTGTTGGCAGGAGGCCTCTGTTCGTTGCTGGGTACCTCTGTAGGGTACTCACAGCATGGCATCTGGCTTCTTCCAGAGTAAGTGATGAAAGAGGGAGGGAGGGACGGATAGACAAGACACCAAGATAGAACCATATGACCTAGTCTTCACAGTCACATACTACTGTCACTTTTACTTTATTCTGTTTGTTAGAAGTGAGTCATTAAGTCTAGCCCACATTCAAGGGGAAGGGAATTAGGCCCCGTCTCTTAAAGGAAGAAGTATCAACAAATTTGTAGATCTATTATTATACCCACCCCAGCATCCATGTTAAAACTCTAGATGCTTCCTTGAGAAATCATCTAACATATTTCTTGGTGGTTCTCTAAGACTATAGTTTTGTGTCTCAAGTACCCTGTGGGTTAAATAGACTTCTAGACTTGTCTAAGAACCTAATTACTTTGTACCAAGATTTAACGGAACATGAATTTGGCATTCCAAATTTATTTGTAAGTTGGAAGTCTTATATTTTGTATCATCAAAGAAAACCTTTTCATTTTTCTGAGAGTTTATTTTACTTTTTATGCAGTAGAATTAGAGCTATTTTATTAGTCATTGGGTTTTTTTTATAACCAATTCTTAAGTAATGTCTACTTTTTTTGTTGTTTCTCTAGGATATATTATATTGATTAATCTTCTCTAATCACAAATTTGAAGTAGCTTTGAATTACTTAATATATTTAATTTGATCAAATTTCCTTTGTATTCTGTTTTTCATTAATGAGTATAATAATTCAAAACATACCCACCCTAGGCTCAACACTTAGAAGATTCTATTTCACTGTGAACAGGAAAATGCAGTAATGTTATAAATGGTAATGGAATGTTAGAGCTTAAAGAGACTTGAGACAATCTAGTACAGTTTTTATTTTTGTGTTTAAGGTGAGGGACATTAAATTACTTGCCTGGAATTCCGGAAAGTTGGACACAGAGCCTGGTTTGCAAGCCAGGATTTCTTATTCACAGTTCCATACATTTTTTGATTCATATTTCCTTAACATATTTAAACTGAAGTTAAAAGATATTTAAAAATTCAAACATTTATGTTAACCATGATTCAATAGGTTTCCATAAATATACCTTTTATGATTCAGAATCCAGCTACATTTAAAGTTAGCCTGAAATATCACTGATAAACTGAATTATTGCCATAGTGTTTACTATTACTGCATTTACACCTTTCGGTATTTACCGCCTTTTTTTCTAAAGCTTCATTACAGATGTTTTCTACCCTGCATTCTTCCTTTTTCTGTTATTTCCTGGAATACTTTTAGAAACCACTTTGGTTATATGAACTGTTAATGTACAGTGCCTTCCAAATCAAGGAATGTGAGTAGCCTCTTACTTTGACCATGAAAAATAGCTATTATAGATAAGAGGTGCTTGAAATTCAAGTTATGTCCATTTTTTATTGGAACATTATATATATTATATGTGTGTGTATATTAATATATACAAACACACGCATATATATTTATATATTCACACATTTTACATTTATATATATTTCAAACTAGTTTCTTAAGGTCTGTTTCCTAATTGAGAATATATTTATAGTTGATGTCAAGTGGAATTTGGCAGAGAGGTAAAGAAGAAGAAGGAGTTTATGGTTTTCTAATAGAAGACATCAGGAAAGAAGTGAACAGGGCTTCTAAACTGGTAAGTAAATTGTTTTACTCATTATGCTAAATACTATAAGTATGATCATACTAGGGAAGTTTTCTCCATCCGTTTCCCTACTGGAAATTTATAAGACTTTGATTTTATGTTCAAAGGCTTATTTTTGTCAAATAAGGTAAATTTTAGAAGAACTTTTTGGGTATTTGCAAATAAAAGCGAGGTTAACCAACCCTGAATAATATATGTGACAGTGCTGATTTCACTTCCTTATTTTATTCCAACCTATCCATCATTTCACCCACTCCTACCATCCGAATTATGACCACACTTCCACTCTGCTGTTCTTCAGACCTTTAATCCTGAGTCAACCCAGATGTTCACTTTTCATTCTTATACCTCAGTTGCTGGGTTGGCAGGATGGGTTGAAGTGGAAATTACACAGCTTTGCAGACCAGTAATTTATGATATCTCCACCTCTTGTGGACATTCTGTGACATTGTGTACCTTTGTTCATTGCGTTCTCATGTTCTCTAGGATAAGTACTCTACACTTTAACCCCTTGTTCATTTAATTATAGTTTGTGAGCCTTCTGTGTGATACCTACTGTACTAAATGCAAGGAAAGGATTATAGGTTTCCATCTGGTCTGAGTAGAAATAATGAGAGTTAGGGGTGCCTGGGTGGCTCAGTTGTTAAGCATCTGCCTTTGGCTCAGATCATGATCCCAGGGTCCTGGGATCGAGCCCCACATCTGGCTCCCTGCTCAGCGGGAAGCCTGCTTTTCCCTTTCCCGCTCCCCTTCTGTGTTCCCTCTCTCACTTGTGTCTCTCTTTCTGTCAAATAAATAAATAAAATCTTTTAAAAAAAAATAATGGGAGTTAGAAAATGAGAAGGTTAAAAAAATGAGAAAGTTGGAAGTACAGGGAATTTTGTCCAGAGAATATAACTGGAACTGATGGTTTCAGTGGTGGAGCAGTTTTGGGTGATGACAGGATTCATTATTACACTGGAGTAGCGATGAAGGGACACATCATAACTGTCAAAGGTTGTCTCATCAATGTCGAAGTTGTTTACAAAGGTGTAGCAAGAATTAAGATACAGAGAAAGGTGCCAAAGTGTGGAGGAAGCTAGTAGGTGACAGAGGGTAGATATCATTAGGTTCAAAGGACCAGATTTTTTAAAGTATGAAGGCAAATTTGTGGCCTACAACCTGCAACAGAGAACTAAAATAATGTTCTGATTGTCCCCCTTGCCTTTTTCCATATCCTAATCCCAACCCTTGCCAAGTCTGGATGAAAATAAAGGAGGATGGGAAAATAAGTAGCTTCATTCAAGAAATTCTGTAAGGGAAGCAAGCATATAGAGACCTTTCTCTTAGTTGAAGCAAAAAAAAAAACTGGAAGCAATTATTTTTGAAGATGTTGAGGATGCTGGGGACCACATGGTAAAATAGAGGCTGTAGAACACAAGAGAAAACCTTGGGAGAAAGGTTAGCAGTGGCATTTATCTAAGGACTATGTGAGAGTATTAGTATCAAAATTCCTCAAGCTTCTGATGATAGTGAACTTGTGGTGAAAGATGACCTTTTGAGGTCTCTTTGCAGTTTGGAAATATCTTTTTCTTAAAACATCTGAATCCTCTCTGACTATATTGTGAACCTTTTTTTTTTAAGATTATTTTATTTTCTTTTTTTTTTTTAAAGATTTTATTTATTTATTCATGAGAGACAGAGAGAGAGGCAGAGGCAGAGGGAGAAGCAGGCTCCCCAAGGAGCAGGGAGCCCAATGCAGGACTTGATCCCAGGACCCTGGGATCATGACCTGAGCCGAAGGCAGATGCTTAACCATCTGAGCTACCCAGGTGCCCAGATTATTTTAGAGAGAGCGCGAGCATCAGCAGGAGGGGTGGGGGAGAGGGAAAGAGACTATCAAGCCAGATTCTGCACTGAGCGTGGAGCCCAACTCGGGGCTTGATCCTCTAACTCTGAGATCATGACCTGAGCCAAAACGGAGTCGGATGCTCAACCGACTGTGCCACCCAGGCTCCCCTATTCTGAACCTTTGAGAATATCTTTATCCTGAAGAAGTTGTCTCCATTTGCGACATTAAGCTAGAGTTCTGTATGTCAGTTTACTGGAAAAAACCTCAGGTTGGCAAGGTATTCTCCAATAACCTAGTGGTATTTCATGGGTCAGCATAAGACTGTATAATCCCTTCATCAGTGACCATTTTATAATGGCTATCTCAAGGGTTCCAAGATGTTTTAGATACTCCTCTGTATCTTAGTAATGCTTGAATCATCTAATAGTCTTTGTATTCATATACCACTGTTATATTTTAGTTAGTGGCAGCGGAATTATATTTGGTTCCTTTGGGCTACCATAATAAATTACAGCAAACTGAGTCATTTAAAACAAATTTGTTCTCACAATTCTGGAGACTAGAAATTCCAAATCAAGCTGTCAGAAGGATTGGTTCTTTCTGGGAGCTGTGAGTGGAGAATTCCTTTCCACGCTTCTCTCCAAGTTTCTGGCGGCTGCTGGTAACCTTGGTTTGTGACAGGATAACTCCAGTCTCTGCTTCCAGCTGCACATGTTCACCTGGTCTTCCCCTCTGTGTGTATGTGTCTTAAATTTCCCTCTCCTTTCACTTAGAAGGACACCAGTCATTTGATTAGGGACCACCCTAAGTCCAGGATGGTTTCATCTTGAGATCTTTAACTTAATTACATTTACAAAGACTCTATTTCTGGGGTGTTTGGGTGGCTCAGTCACCTAAGCGTCCCACTCTTGGTTTTGGCTCAAGTCATAATCTCACTTTTTCATTTGGTTAGGATAGGGTGATCCTAGCTGATTTTTTTTCATAGATTGGTTTTTAGTATTGTTTTGCTGTTTTCCTTAATGAATATTTCCTATTTATGTGTTTTTTATTGAGATTTGAGACTTTAATATATAGGCATTATGTTTACAAACCCTTCAGTTGAAAATATTTTAGCCAGGTAGGAAGGAAAAGAAGCTTCTCTGTCCCATTCACATATTAGATTAGCGATGACTCTTTTACCAGAAATTGTTATAGGAGTGAATCTTTACAGTCTTTAGACTGTTTCTGGGGAGAACAGTTTTTTCAGAAATTTGCTTTAATAAACTGTCATCCTAGCTGTTGTATGATGATAATTTTCAGACTCCCCACAGGAATATTCATTTATAACTTGGTCATACTATATTACTCAGATTTTGTATATTATGACCTCTATTTTCATATTTTCTTCTAGAAATGCTGTATTTGCAAGAAAACTGGTGCTTCAATTGGATGTGTTGCACCCCGATGTAAACGAAGTTACCACTTCCCATGTGGACTTCAGAGAGAATGTATTTTCCAATTTACTGGCAATTTTGCGTGAGTTAATTAATTGTTGAATATGAAAGGTGAATGTTAAGGAAAAATGGAAAATGGCTATGGATATCCCAATGATATAAATCCTTTGTAAAATTGCAGAGCTGCACTGAGTTTACACATATATGTTACATATATGTTTTATACATATTTAAAATTGCTTCCCTCCTCCTAATGGAGTCATCTCTATCTGCAAAGTCTTGGGAATTGCCAGAATTGAATGGGCTTAACAATTAATATTCATCTTCAGCTCTGGAATATAATATGAAATTGTTAATTTATTAATATTTTATAAAAATTTCCACCTTACATAATTCTAGATTTTTATGTCACTGTTTAGATTTATGGTCCACTCTTCTTCCACAGAGCCATATGTATTTTTCATTGAGTAAATTGAAGGCATTTAAATTTAGTGGAGTCCAAAAAATAAATATGTGCCCTGGAGTGCCCCTGACAGTATTTACTTTCTGAATCCAGCTGTAAACATCAAGATTTATGAATTTTAGTATTTGATATTATGAGTGTTCTATTTCTTTTAGTCTTTGTGTTCTTGACCTATTTAATGGATTGTTAGCATGTACAAAACTGCAGTTTAGAAAATGCAAATGGAAATAAATTTAGTGGGTTAGGAATAAGTTTTTATTTGTATTTTATGTTACATAATTAAAATATTTTTAAGTTCCTTTAATTTTGTACAATATTGAGTATAATGGTGTTGCTAACAATATTACATAGGATTCTCAACATAATACTAGTTACTGAAATTCTAGGAGTTAAGTCTTTTTTTTTTTTGTAAGATTTTATTTTTTTGAGAGGGAGAGAGCTAGCAAGAGAGAGCAGGAGCAGGGAGGAGAGGGAGAAGCAGGCTCCTCACTGAGCAGGGAGCCCAAGGCGGGGCTCAATCCCATCATGACCCGAGACAGGGGCAGACACCTGACCAACTGAGCCACCCAGGCACCCCTCTAGGAGTTAAGTCTTACCACCAAAAGGTTCACATTCTGAAAATCCTGCTCTCCTTGGTCATAGTTTGTGAGACTGATTAAGAGTGCCAAGGTTCCAGTCTTGTAGGTTAATTATGAGAGAGATACAAATGAGTTTGCTCTTATAAATGCGAATTGTAATGCTAGTCTCACTGTGTTTTGTAATTTATTAGATATTGTTTTTAAATAATTTACATTTTAGGTCATTTTGTTGGAAACATCGGCCTGTTCAAATAATTACATCTAATAATTATAGAGACTCCTTACCATGTACCATTTGCTTGGAATTTATCGAGCCTATTCCAACTTACAGCATATTACGAAGTCCTTGTTGTAAGAATGCTTGGTTTCATAGAGACTGTTTACAGGTAAGTTATCTTGTAAGCTTTATCTGATACAAAATTTGTTCCTAGCTGATTTGAATTTTGATTTGTTTTATATTTTATTTTATTAAGGTTTATTTATTTATTTACATAATCCTTACACCCAATGGGAGCCTCAGACTCATGATCAAGAGTTGCATGTTCCCCTGACTGAGCCAGCCAGGCACCCCTGATTTGAATTTTAAATTGTAAAGAGTTGACCTGTGTATTTTACCTCTACTTGTAACTTAAAAACAGCTTTATCAAAGCATATTTTACATATAAAATTTGCTCTATTGAAGTGTACAATATTTTAAAATACTTTAGAACACTACCTTTTAATGTATATTTACACTTAAAAGTTTTCGTTGTTTTAACCTAAGGATTTTGTCTGTATTTCACAATGAATAAAACAGATTTAATTCCCAACTTCATTTACATATTTAAGCTTAGAAAACCAAGATATGTGAAATGATAATTTAACTGGAAGCTAAGATATTTAAATGTTGAGGCCTTTAAAAAGAAAAAACTATGGTAAACACTTTATCACAGCTTCTTGACAGGAACTGATTACTGTTTAATGAATTAAAAGGTATTCTTTTTGAAAACCACCTTGTATGTGAAACCTGATGACTGGTTTTTTGGGGGTTTTTTTGGTTTTTTTTTTTAAAGATTTTATTTATTCATTTGACAGGGATAGATAAAACGAGAGAGGGAACACAAGCAGGGGGAGTGGGAGAGGGAGAAGCAGGCTTCCCGCCGAGCAGGGAGCCTGATGCAGGGCTCGATCCCATGATCCCAGGATCATGACCTGAGCCAAAGGCAGACGCTTAATGACTGAGCCACCCAGGGGCCCCTTTTTTTTTGTTTTGCTTTGTTTTTTAAAGATTTTATTTGAGAGAGAGAGAGCGTGCATAAGCGGGGGGGAAGGACAAAGGGAGGAGGAGAAGCAGACTCCCCACTGAGCAGGGAGCAAGACTTAGGGCCCCAGGATCATGACCTGAGCTGAAGACAGATGCTTAGCCAGCTGAGGCACCCAGGCATCCCCCCATGACAAGTTTTTAAGTAAATATCAAGAAACACATAACATTAAACACTTTAATATTTATTTGATTCAGAAGATTCTTAAAGATTTTTAAAAAGATCTCACTTATTGATAACATCAAATACAATAGTGTACATGTATGAAAGTGCCAACTGATAGACAGTTACAGTTAATAGAATGCCAAATAACAAAGGATTTAATTAAGTTTAACACTTTTTTTTAGAGCTTGGCTTTTATTGTTTAGTAAAATAAAATGTTGTTATTGATTACAGGTCATTCACAAAAGTATTTTTTAAAGTTAGGAGATGTAAATCCTCTTCTATTTCAAGAAAGTCTTAAAAGTACATGAGTGAGTCAAACAATAGGCAATAATTATGCAACTTCTTCTCAAGTAGTGATCACTCAACCTAGTACAAAATATACTTTCAAAATTACAGTTTATCCTAGTAAACCCCTGCAGTTTCACCAGGGGTGGTATCCCTGCCTTTGAACTTAAAAATCTTCTAAGCCATCCTGATCATTATGTAGAAACAGAATATTCAGCACCTCATGGACCCTACTTTATAGCACATGTGGATAGAATGAAGCACAAAAGTTGAGTATGGGATCTGATGCTGCTGCCTACACTCAAGCTCTATTGGTACACCAAAAGGCCAGAATGGAATGACTTCAAAAAGAATTTTAGATTCAAAAGAAAAAGCTGGATAAACTAAAATCTGAGGTCAATGAAATGGAAAATCTAACTCAAAGGCACCTGAAAAGATCAAATTCTATATCCCAAATACCTTCACTCAAAGAAAGGCAGCAGTTGAGAATCTGTAATAGACAGCTCCAGACTGACACTGACATTAACCAAAGGAATTATCTTTTTCAAGCCCAAGGACCACATTGTATTTTTTAGTGCTGTTCATCTCTTTTATGACAATATTGGCTTTGTAGATCCTGTACCACCAAAACCCAAAGATTAAAGGTCCACTGTCAAAGCACCAAGGACTCAAGACACAGAAAATGATGAGGGGTCTCAGTTGTATTGTACTGCCTGTATTTCTTTGAACCATTCTTAACAGCCTTAATCTGCTGTGAACAGTGTAAGATACCAAGGCGTTTCTGAGCCAAAAGGTCCTATATCTCTAAAATCACATTTGAAGTTCAAGAAACCAGTCTGTCATCAAAGTTCCACTGCCTCATAGGATTTTGTCAAATTGAAGGTATGGCAAGATGGTGTTGTGCTAATGTTAAATGTCAGCCCACAGAGCTAATGATACCTCAATCTAATGTCATGGGCAGTTGAAATTCATCACATGAAAGGTAATCTGCTGAAAGACTTGATTGCTGCCTAACCATGTACAGTATTACCAGTAGCCCATTGTGGATAATTCTCAATGTATTAATGCCTAGGTATTCCCAGTACCTTTTTTTTTTTTTTTAATTTATTTAAATTCGAGTTAGGTAAGATATAGTGTACTATATCTTTCAGGAGTAGAATTTAGTGATTCATCACTAACATATAACACCCAGTGCCCAATACCTTTTCCCCCTCATGTCACTACTGAATTTTGATAAGGGGAAGAAATAGAACAATGGTTTTCTTTGTCTTTTTTTTAAGATTTATTTACTTATTTGGGAGCGAGAGTGTGAGTAGGGGGAGGGACAAAGGGAGAACAGGGAGAGAGAATCCTCAAGCAGACTCCCTGCTGAGCATGGAGGGAGCCCAACATGGGGCTTGATCGCAGGACCCTGAGATCATGACCTGAGCTGAAATCAAGAGTTGGATGCTTCACTGACTGAGCCACCCAGGTGCCCCATGCCTTTCTTTTTTTTTTTTTTTAAGCTTTAGGTGAAACACTACTTACATGAAGAAAAGAAACAAGGTTTAACTCTTTAAAAACTGCTGCCTCATGGTGCCAAAGGACAGGGGAAAAACTTCATGATTTCGTGGTACTCTTGGCCTTGTCTTTGTCTTCCTTAAAAATGTCTCTGCTCTGTGAAGCCACCATCCAGGGTCTAAAGATGAAAAGGAAAGCAGCATGCATTGTCTGTAAAAACATGTAGTGAAATATCCCAAAGCTTTTCCTACTGTATCTGTCTCTTGAGTTTAAGTGATTTCTTTTCTTCTTTATTATTTTTTTCTATTTCTATATGTATAGTGTAATAGTCTTTTGTTAACTGATTTTCTTTTCTCCTTTTAGTGATTAAGCACAGTCATGTCCCTTTTTAAGCCTTACCTGAGAGAAGCAGTGCCTTAAAATAAAAAACTTCAGTGAAATGAAACTGCACAAAATAACTTTCCTCTACTTATTCTGTACTTTGCCCTCATGAGTGCCGATGTTCTGTGACGACGTACAGACAGATGGTGCCCAGTGAATTGCAGGAAATACTACAAGACTTATGTCTGTAAAGTCACACTATATATTGACTTTAGCAGTGGGTGACACAATACAGTGTTAATCTTCCACAGGGAAGCTTAAAAGATTTTTAACCCACTGACAGAGCAACAAGGTTAAGCTGGCTTCATCTGCCTGGTGTCCCACAGAATTTTCACAAGAGATTACTATTGGGGTAATTGGGGTTTCAAAACCAGCAATAGCAGCAGTACCTACAGCCTTGGTTTCTGGAGAAGTTTAAATGCCTTACTGTTGAGACCATGAGTATCTAAACCTGACTTGGTGGCAGTATCACATGTACTTATAAAATGAGGCTAGTCATATTTAGGACAACTGAAGAAAAGCTGGAAAAAAGAAAAGCAAACTTGAACACTGAAGCAACCTCAAGCCATCTCTTTATTTTGTTGATTTATTTTTATAAAGAAAGTTAAATATTTAGATGGCCAAGAATGTATATAACTAAATGAAATCAAGAAAAAGAACTATACAGTTAAAAAAATCAGAATTATGAAACTATATATATGCTTACAATGGGCTGAAGGGAAGTGCTAAAAATAAGTAGGATTATTACAGGTGATCTATATGAATGTCTAAGCCTTGACTTCTAGGCTTTGTATCTGGTATATGGGAAGAAGAATGACAATCCTAGTTAATTAGACCAGAACCAAAACCCTTATATATATGGTGCATTTTGTTTTAAAACTACACCTTCACCTACACAGTTCTGTGTGAAGATTGATAAATCCGTTTTTACTACTTTTACTAATAAAAACAATTTGGGTAAAGAAAAACATTAGGGTGATTACTTTGTATTTTTTTTGCACGAGCCTCAAACTTCTTTATATTTAGGATTATTCCGTTAAAAGTGACAGGATGGAGCCTGTTTTGTTGGGTAAATTTTATAAATTCTGTTAGTTCTTATAAAGAAGTGTTTGTAAAAGTATCCAGGGAGTGCAGTTCATAAATATCATGAAAAGTTACCTTTACCTAATGAGAAAGAAGTTCACACTGCATGAGCATTTTACAAAAGTAATTTATCTTAGGAGTTTATACTTGAATGAATGTAATTGCTACCAAATCTATCATCTTGTTCATTTTATAAGCATATGTTATTTTCAAAACAATTAAGATTTGCCTCATTCAACAAATAAGAAAAATAAAAAAGATTTGCTTCAGTTATTTGTTAGTAATGAAACAGAGAGGTTCTCATACTTGACTCTAGTATTCATAGGGCTTTTCGGTGAGCACTGAAAATACCAAATTTCTAATCGTGTCATTAAAAAGTCAAAATAATATTACTTACAAAAATGTAGGTCTACTTTATGCAAATATAATATAAAATCACAACCACATGGACACCTGTCTGTGACATAAATATGAACATGCAATTGTTACTTGATTAGAGACCAGTTAGAAATAATTCTTGAGTCATGTTCTGTAAAGGAGCTATAGTGCCTTTTCCATTCTGTCACAAGTCTTAACTGAAATAGTAAATGGGTGTGCTCGCTTCGGCAGCACATATACTGAAATAGTAAATGGAGTCTATCCTATTACATAACAATACCTGAAGAAAAATTTTTTTAATCTCTAAACTTCATTAATATGAGTTGAAGGAAGAACAGTCCTATGCAATAGCATGAGAATTATATATAGTGAAGCATACTTCATCATTGGTGACCTCTGCAATGGTATATACATTGGAATTTTATAAGGAGAGAGTGCAGATTAATATTTTAAAGCTGTTGGAAACTTCATTCTGTGTCTATAGAGAATTGCCACTATTGTTCAGTTTGGATTTCTCCATCACTACAGTGGTCTTGTATTTTTCTTATGCCCTATGTTGTTTTTTTCCTCCATATTAGACACTCCCTTGTATCATATCTATTTACTAAGATCTTAATATCTGTGTACAATTACTCCTAAAGGCCCGTTAGATTCAGAGATTTCAGTAACTTGTTGCTTTCCTCTGACATTCTTTGTGTGTGTCCCACTTTTTGTTTTTATTTTAATTTTATTTATTTAGTCTCTACATCCAATGTGGGGCACAAACCCATGACCCCAAGACCCAAGAGTCGCATGCTTTTTCGACCACGCCAGCCAGGCGCCCCACTACTAGTGTTCTTTGAACCTGAATTCTTTTGTTTTCTTTATCATTCATAAACTATTCCCAAGTATATCAGGTCTACCTAATAGATATTTTTTGTGTATCTTTTTTTGTTGCTAACCTCTGCCTAAAACCCTCTGTGATTTAACTGTAGACACTTGAAAAAACAAAACAAAACCAAAAAAACTAGACTTTTGAAGGAGCCTACTAGTCTTTTCTCCTGCATACCTTATTCTATATCAATACTGGCTTTGATTTCCCTGTCGAACCTCATTACTGAGTTAGACATGTAATGTAATTGCCATCATGTAATCCCTAAGCATATTGGTTTTTTTTAAAGATTTTATTTATTTGAGAGAGAGAATGAGATCGAGCATGAGGGGGGGAGGGTCAGAGGGAGAAGCAGGCTCTCTGCTGAGCAGGGAGCCCGATGCAGGACTCAGTTCTGGGACTCCAGGATCATGACCTGAGCCGAAGGCAGTCGCTTAACCAACTGAGCCACCCAGGCGCCCCCTAAGCATATTATTAATTAGTTCCCTGATCACATTGTGCTCTCTCTTGCCATGGAGACTTGATATGTGCAATTCCCTATCCTTGTAATGCCTTTTGTCCTGTTTTCCTGACAAACCTTTGTTTCCTCTTCCAAACTTAGCTTTGACCTCGCCATTCCTGTGACATTTTTGTCAGGCTCTTACGTAGACTTAGGTACTTATTCCTTTCTCTTCCATGTATGTACTTTAAAACACACACACGCTACACTTTTACAAAGTATTGTAATTGTATCTAACAGTTATTCCTCAAAGTAGAATCTAAGTTATTTTGTTTCTCTTTTTGGTACATAGCATAGTGTTTGCTACTTACACGGTAGGGGTTAAATAGTCGTTAAATGTGTGCTACTAGTTTTTGTTTGTTTTTTTTTATTGGGGATTGGCTACTCTTTCTAGGAGGTTTATAGTTTTCTGTTCCTGAGTACCCTCTGCCTGCTGGTTCTGTATTTCTATTTGCTGAAGCAGTGAGAGTAGGTTCTATACTTCTCCCCTTTTAGGAAGAAAACTAGCTTAGAGATTGAGTTAAAAACAGAACCAAGGATGTTTTATAGTAACACTTATTTAAACATCCCTCCTAGTTGAAGTAATTCAATATTTTTACTGTTTTATTCACTAAGAGTGATGAACAACATGATATGTGGGGACAGAAATGACATTGGATAAAAAGGTTGAGAAAGACAGATGTAAAGCTAAGAACAGCCAATTCATTAACTTAATTTTTTTTATCATTGGGAAAAAAGATCTCAAAATTTTAGCAGTAGAATAACTTCATTTATCAAAGCTTGAGAACTAGCATAGACTATGTTTTCATAATATATTAAGCGAAAAGTAGGACATGTTCTGTTAGCTATTATAATTTATGACCTGATACCCTGTTAAATTGTTAACAATAGATTTTCTGTTTTCCACTGTAGGTTCAAGCAATAAATGCAGGAGTGTTTTTCTTTAGATGCACAATATGCAATAATAGTGATATATTTCAGAAAGAGATGCTGAGAATGGGAATTCATATTCCTGAAAAGTGAGTACCATTTAGCCTTTTGACAAAAGATAATTTAAATGTAGGATTTAATAACAATGGAAGTAATCACTTACGTCTGTCATAGAGAAGCAGTCATCTTAAATGGGGAAATATAAACCTGCCCCTACCGTAACTGCCTCCTTCTCCTTCCCAGATTGCTAGTTCTTGAGAGCAGGGACTATGACTTTAATGTCTCATTAGTTGACTTATAGTCTCTTTAATAAATACCTCAAATGTGTACAATACTAATTGACTTATACACAAGTACAATAGACTTCAAAATGGCATGTATAAATTAAGAGAATCAAGATGTGGTTTAAAATGTATAACAAGGATTTTCTTTTTTTTTTTTTTTAAAGATTTTATTTATTTATTTGACACAGAGAGAGGGATCCCAAGTAGGCAGAGCGGCAGGCAGATGGAGAGGGAGAAGCAGGCTCCCTGCTGAGCAGAGAGCCCGATGCGGGGCTCGATCCCAGGACCCTGGGATCATGACCTGAGCCGAAGGCAGACACTTAACCGACTGAGCCACCCAGGCGCCCTAACAAGGATTTTCTTAATACTTAAAGATGAGGAATCCAGAAATAAGGTTACTAAATTTGAAATTTAAAAATTAGAAGTGAAATACTAGGAAAAATGTAAGTTTTAGAAAATTTTTTTTAAAGATTTTATTTATTTATTTATTTATTTATTTATTTATTTATTTATTTGACAGAGACACAGTGAGAGAGGAAATACAAGCAGGGGGAGTGGGAGAGCGAGAAGCAGGCTTCCCGCTGAGCAGGGAGCCTGATGAAGGGCTCAATCCCAGGACCCTGGGATCAAGACCCAGGCTCCCCGAAAATATCCAATTTTTCATTTAAACATTTGAAAATTCACTGTGAGAATAACTGCAGGATAAAATGACACTAGTAGATTTATATCTTGAAGAGAATGATTAATCCTAAGAAGAAAAAGTTTTATCCTTGTTCCTAAGTATGTGAAAAGTTTTTGTTTTTAGATTTCATTACTAATCCTTTTATGTAACATTTTAGTTCAAAGTGTATTTTATATCTTTCTTCATTTACAGAGATGCATCTTGGGAATTAGAGGAAAATGCTTATCAAGAACTTCTGCAGCACTATGAGCATTGTGATGTCCGAAGATGTCGTTGCAAAGAAGGGCGAGACTATAATGCACCTGATAGGTATATTGGGAAGTCCATTTGTGCTTATTGTACTTATTTAAACTGTCAGCTGAGGAAGTAGTTTTCTAGTTAATGAAATGTAGTTTTGCTCTTAGGATGTTTAAAGTTTTAACTTGAGAGGAGGTATATTTATTAAATACATGTTTACATCTGTTTACAGAGAAATTATTGCTATCAGCATAGTTGTAACTTTTTTCTGTGGTGTATTTTCATGAGCCTTCATTTTCTAGAGCTGCACTTCCCTATGTGGTAGCCACTGGCCACATGTGGCTATTGAGCACTTGAAATGTGGCTATTCCAAATTGAGAGGTGTTGTGTGATATACACAGTGAAGACTCACTGTCTTAATTTGCTACGGCTGCTATAACAACAGATACTTGTTGTCTAACAATCCTAGAGACTAGAAGTTCAAGATAGAGGTATCGGCAGGTTTTATTTCTTCTGAAGCCTCTCTCCTTGACTTGTACATGATTCCCTGCTAGCTGTGTCCTCACATAATTGTCCCTCTGTCGTGTCCTAATCTCCTTTTCCTATAAGGACACCAGTCATATTAAATTAGGGCTCACCCATATGACCTCATTTTCTTAGTTATCTCTTTAAAGGCCCTATCTCCAAATACAGTCACATAGTGAGGTGTACTGGGTTTTAGGACTTCAACTTATGAATTTGGAGGGAACACAATTCAGCCCATAATAGTAAGACAAAAAGAACTAAGAGTATCTTATTAATAACTTTTTATATTGATTACATGTCAAGTAAAATGAATGAATGTTGAAATTCATTTCACCTGTTTCTTTCACCTTTTTAAATCGGGTCGCTAGAAAAATTTAAATTCATTAAATGACTTGCATTGTATTTCTATTGGATGGCACTGTTCTAGAGCTTAATTTAACTAAAGTAATCTAGCAGTGTTCTTTTGGATCGCTATAAAAAGTGTTTGATATTTAAAATTATTCTTTTGTAATGTCAGTAGATACTGGCTCTAATCTTAACCATTATTTTGTGCCTTCTATGTACACTATACTGTGTTAGATACTAGAAATCAAGAGTATCTTCATTTTTTAAGATGTAGAATAAACAGTAACAAATCCAGTTTTGTTGAATTTATGGAGGATATTTCAATAAATTTTTAATCCCTGTTATACAATCTTAACATGGCAAGCTGAAACTTAAAGTGCAAAGCAGAATATTGGGAGCCTTGTTTCTCATGGAAAGTGATTTGGCTGGGTAAGCTAGCTCTTATTTGCAGACTCAGCTGATGTCTTGCCAGCTTTGAAAAATTTCCCTAAGCATCTCTTACCACTCCTGATTTCCCATTCTAGGCTGAGTTTTTTTCTTTCGTGTGCCTGTTACAATGCAAGTGACATTGTTGGAATTTGTTTTTGTCATTAGACTAAAAATTATTTAAGGGCAGAGATCTCATTGAAGATGTCAAGTATTGTATATTCTTGCTTACGTGACTGGTGACCCTGATTATTCATTTGTAAACTTCTAAAGGCTTGTGCTGAGGCACAGATGAGATAATGTATATGAATGTGCTTTGTAAACAATAAGGCACTTTACATTTCTAAGAAACAGTACATTCACTCATATTAATATTTTCTAAATTTATTTTGGGCTGTTTTATTTTTATTATTTTTTTAAAGATTTTATTTAATTATTTGACACAGCATGTGAGCACAAGCAGGGGGAGCGGCAAGCAGAGAGCCTGGTGTGGGCCTCAATCCCAGACCCTGGGATCATGACTGAGCCTGAAGGTAGACACTTAACTGACTGAGCCACCACCCTGGTGCCCCTATTTTGGGCTGTTTTAGTTAACCTGTATATATTGCTTATATATTACCGGTCACCCAGTCAGTAGCTACCAAACTCCCCTTCCTTTCTGGCAGCTACTTGAGGTTGCTATTCCTTGTCTTTTCTCCTAGGACACAGTACCTGCCATCTGAATGCTTTTTGTTTTTTTGTTTGTTTTGTAATGTCCCTCGTTCTTGTGATGTTAGGAAGGTGGTTTTGCTGAAAGGCAGGCACCATGGTGTAGTGGTTAGGAGCATGGGTCCGAAGCCAGGTAAACTAGGTTGGAAGCCCCACTTTGGGACTTACTAGCAGCGTGAACTTAATTGGGCAAGTTATTCACCCCTCTATGCCTTGGTTTCCTCCTTTTTAAAATGAAGGATAATAGTGATTTTTCCTGTTAAAATTATGAGGATTAAACTTTTTGTATAGACTGAGAACTGGGCCTGGTGTATAGTAAGCACTCATGTTAGATGTCCTCTTTCTCTTCATCATTTGGCAGAACTATCTGGGAAAGTGAGGGAGACACACAGAGAGGACACACACCTCCATACCCATATCCACACAGAGAGATTCACCTATACCTAATGGAGGGGAGGGTATCCAACTACCTCCTTTTTTCTTTTTCTCATTCTTTTTCTTTTTTTCTCTTTTTTCTTTTTGAGAGAGAGCATTACGTACATACACGTAGGGGGGGCGGGACGCACGGGCAGAGGGAGAGGGAGAGAGAAAATCTTGAGCATGCTCCACACCCAGCACGGAGCCTAACACAGGGCCCCATCTCATGACCCTGAGATCATGACCTGAGCTTAAATCAAGAGTCATATGCTTAACCAGCTGAGCCACACAGGCGCCCCCAACTGCCTCTCTCATCACCTACACATCCACACACTCAGGGAGTATATCCATTTTATTCATGGAGGGTATACACATAACCAAACAAAAAGTAGGCGCCACACCACAACCCACACCCACACCTATACACAAAATGTGAGTATGGACTGGCATACATCACACAATCCAGTGGAGAAACATGGAGGTGGGGGTGGAAGGGAACAAATAGGGAAATATAAATATGGGCAAGGTAATAAGTCTGGACCCTGTTGAGCTACATAATACTGGGTGTCTAAACAAGCGTTTATAGGAAGTAATTCCTCACAATGAATGTGAAAAATAATATTTTAGGTAAGATAATATATTTACTGATGCTTCTTCCATGTTGGCCACATTTTTATAGCAATTTCCCTATGAGCTAGTAATTTCCAAATATAAAAAATTTTTTTCCTTCTTAATCCTGTTCTTTCTGGTGTTTATAGTCTTGTGTATGTACATGTACATGTCGATATTTAGGTATTTTAAGTTAGTGAATATTTAGAGCAAGAGGTTACAAACAAATGAAATAGAAAAAAAACAGTAATGTAGTGTCAAAGCAGATAATCTATTTTCCCTCCTTTGGTAGAAGGGTTGGTTATATGTGAGATGGACAATGTGGCCTGTGGCAGTGCAGATGGTTGGAATTAGACCAAGTTAATACTAAAATGTAAACATCTGCTCTGTTTATATCCTCAGCAAATGGGAAATAAAGCGCTGTCAGTGTTGTGGTTCTAGCGGAACACATTTAGCTTGTTCCTCATTACGATCATGGGAACAAAATTGGGAGTGTTTGGAATGTAGAGGTATTCTCTACAATTCAGGTAATATTTTGTAATTTTGAATAAAGACATTTTTTCAAATGTATATTATTTTAAAATTTCTTCCTATATATCTGTAATGCTAACATTGGGTTTTAAATCTACAGAGGATTTCCAAAAAGCCAAAAAACATACATTACCCAACACTAACAGTGTGGGAATAACTGATTGTTTGTTGGAGGAATCATCACCTAAATTACCCAGACAGTCACCTGGAGCCCAGCATAAAGATCTACTGAGGTATGTATTTTGAATTGGAGAAAAATATAAAACTCTCTCTCTCTCTTTTTTTTTTTAAAGTAAGCTCTGTGCTCAGTGTGGGGCTTGAACTCACTACTATAAGCTCAGGAGTCACATGCTCTCCCTACTGAGCCATCCAGGCATCCCTATAAAGCTCTATTTTGAGAAAATTAGACTAGGAAGTGGCTAGATACTGGCTCTTATATATATATATATATTTAGAATATTAGCTGATCTTAGTATTCTGGAAGAGTGTTTTTCAAACTGCAGGACCAATATTTGATCATGAAGTCAATGCAACCAGCATTGAAAAAAGAAAACAAAACAGGACAGAATAGAATGTAAAATATCAGATTGCATTGCAAATAGAATATATATGAAATTTATTTTATTGTATACTGAGTCATGATGTAAAATATATATTATAGATCATTTTCAAGGTAGTTTAAAAATTAAAATACCAAGTATACCATGTTACTTGGTTAAAAGGAAGGAATCATATTTAATATAGTGATTTTTTTTTAAATTGTGTAATCGTTTGCTTAATATATTTGCTGTTAATGTCAGAGGTCTAAATGTCACCTCTTTAGAAAGTTTAAGGCACACATACAAGTATTATTGTATTAATGCCTAAATATTTTCCTACCTGGGCTGGTTCACCCCGTCCTTAGGCAACTTGGTGGTTCCCAGCTTCCGGGAGGTCACCATATTGATGCCAAACTTAGTGCAGACACCCAGTTGGCATAGCACACGACAGCCTAGAACTCCTGTGCTCAAGCGATCCTCCTGCCTCAGCCTCCTGAGTACCTGGGACTACAGGTGTACGCCACTGTACATAGTAAAATAAGTAACTTTGAAAATCATAACATTTAAATAAGACTAGAATTACAACTTAGTATCATGTCAAGTATTTATTCAGCTGAAGTTAGGATTTTTAAGTATATGTAGCTTTGCGAAGGAGTTTTTAGAAAAATAAGCAAAACTAACATTAGTAGCTAAGCATGATGAAGTACTTTTTTGTTAAAAATAGTATCAAGTTAGGGGCGCCTGGGTGGCTCAGTCGGTCAAGCGTCTGGCTAACTCTTGGTTTTGACTCAGGCCATGATCTTGGGGTCCTGGGATCCAGCCCCACGTGGGTCTCCGTGCTCAGCAGGGAATCTGCTTGAGATTCTCTCACTCTCCCTCTGTCTCTCCCCCACCATCTCCCCACCTCCCCAACTCCCCGCACGTGCACCCACGAGTACACTCTCTTTTTAAAAAAAAAGTAGTATCAAGTTAAAACTTAGAAGGTAAAGAGAATTTCTGTGAAAATACTTGATAACTGGATTTATAGATGAAGTGGAATATGAAGTACTCTTCAAAAAGTGAAGAATTGCTGTTTTAAGATATCACTTGTGTTAGCTGGAAACTTGTTACAGATGTTTTTATAATATTTTCAGTATCAAAAAGGATGTTTACATTAATTTTAAAACTTTTAATATGTAGGTTTCCAAAGATGTTATACCAGGGAAGTTTGATTCCTTGTTCCATGCTTTAACATCATATTCTAAAAGAATAACATCAGCATTGCCATTCCAGGCAGGAACAAGGAATCAACCTGCTACAGTACAAAGGCATATTTCTGAAGGAGTGTCTTACTTCCGAAAGACTTTGGTTTTCCTGCAACCTGCTTTAATGAATTAGGGGGTATGTGAAGAAAGAAAAAACAAAGCCTGGTCCACATGGGGGCATTGTAATGTTTTATGATGAGAAAAATTTATACTTGATGTGGAAAGATGATCCAGGGACATTGCTCCAAACAAGATTCTTTTGAGTACATTAATTTCAATTACAGATGGAGAAATTGAGGCAGAGACAATTGATTTAGTCCATACAATTGCCTGGAGGTCTTAATAAGCCATAGGGTGCTAGGCCTCATGCTCAGAGGTTCTGATTCTGTTTACTTGCTGTATGGCTCAAGAATTTCCATTTCTGGGGCACCTGGCTGGCTCAGTCAGTGGAGTATGCAACTCTTGATCTCAGAATTGTAGGTTCGAGTCCCACGTGGGTGTAGAGATTACTTAAATATAAAGTCTTGGGGGAAAATTTTGCATTTCTAACAAGTGTCCAGATGCTGTTGCTGCTGCTAGTTTCGAACCACACTTTGAGAATTATTGCTATAGAATTGTGAATTGTGTTTATAATATTAACTCTACTGTTAACTAACTTTATGATTAGAAATACATTGTGAAATCTCATAAAATTATGGTTCTCTCATAGAGTAAGCAGAAATTACATTTGTTCTGTTTTTAAAGGATCTAGTAAACTTGAAATGCCTTGAAGCAACTGTTTGCTATAGCCATTGGCCGGGAGGGTGAGATTCTGAGCTTCTCTGACTTACATCTGAATCCATTGAATTGATCAAATTTGAGATAATCTATCAACATTCTCATAGATCATTTTTTATATTAGATTTTAATTGGTAGGAAATTGGAGAGTCAAGAATTTAGAAACAAATCAAATAGCTTTTTGGTTCTGGTGGCAGCTGCTGTCTGTTTTTGGGTGAGTTGGGGAAGAATTTCCTTTTTAATTAATTTTTCTGTTTTTTATTGACTAAATTAACTGCTGTGTCATGTAAAGTACTTTAGAGTACTTAACCTCTCTGTTTAAATTCATGTTTTATAGGCAAGGCAGTAAATTTAGAAGAGACGTTTCAACAATAATGATGGAATTGGGATTTCAAATTAAAAAAAAAACTAAAAGATTATGGATTAATAAAGCCAATATCTGGAATAGTGCCTTAGATGGATTCAGAAATCAAAACTTTAATCCTTCATACACAATTGAAGTAGCATATATCAATGAAAATGATAATTTTGGAAGAGAGCATCCTGGATCAAAGCAAGAATTCCTAAGTCTCTTAATGCAGCATCTTGAGAATTCACCAATATTTGAAGGGTCCTTGTCAAAGAATTTGTCTCTAAATTCTCAAGGTAATTTTATTTATTATTGTATCTGCTGAATATACCATGTGAAAGAGATAGCTGGTTAGAATTAATATTCAGTCCCTGTGGCCGAAATGTATAGTTCACTTTGTTGTAAAATACTGATTGAATCACAGAAGAGTAGAGAAAGGGGAGTGATGTTCTTTAAATTTTGTAGTGAAACTTTTTATTTAAGAATATGCTTAATTTGTTTTAGCAATACCTTCCTTGGAGTGAATTTATGATTAAGTGTAACTTTTTAAAAATGTACTTTATATTCATTCTAATTTCGTTTGAATAGAGTGGCCAAATAGAATGGATGATTATTTGAGCCCTTCTTGTTCACATGTTTGGAATTTGCAGATCGGATGTTTCTTCACAACCTGGGATTTTTATCCCATAATTTTCTGGCCCACATCTAACAGATTTTTTTGATATATTTTTGCTTTCAAGAATTTTTCATGCACATTTATGTATGTGATACTTTTCTGTCTTCTGATGATGAATTAAAACATGAATTTCAGAAGAGTGATTAATTCTAGCATTCTTTTTTAGGAGCTTTTATACCACTTTTGCTGTAGTAGGAAATTCAAAAGAGTGAGAAGACTTATTTCATTCCATTTGAATTTTCTCTTACATTTTCCCTAGAACTTCCTTACTGTTGCCTGAAGCATCATTAAAATAACTGAGAAGCTACCAAGGTTTATTTGTACACACTGTTTAACTCTAAACTCCCTAAAAAAAATCACTCCAAATAATCAGTAATGTTAACTCTAGACAGTTTTGGTACAGTGGATAAATGCATAAATTCACAAAATCTGAATTCAGTTTTGTACACATCTATTTTAGTTGCTTTATATCCTTAGATTAATTATGCAACCTCTCTGGAATTCATTTAACAGATACAGAAACTGTGACTGCTAATATGTAGCATATAAGGTCATTGTTGAGATTTTATTATTAGTTCATGTATTGATAATGTTACTTATTAATAATTTGCTCTGTATTAAGAGAAATAAAGGAAAATTTACATATCTTTTTGATTTATCAAAGCTAAAACATTTATTTTTAAGTTTTTATTTTAATTCAAGTTAACATACAGTGTTATATTAGTTTCAGGTGTATAATATAGTAATTCAACACTTCCATACATCACCCTATGCTCATCACGACAAGTGCACTCCTTAATCACCATCACCTATTTCACCCATCCCCCCACCATTCTCCCCTCTGGTAACCATCAGTTCTCTATAATTAAGAGTCTGTGTCTTGATTTGTGTGTGTGTGTCTCTCTTATTTTTTTCCCTTGGCTTATTTGTTTTGTTTCTTAAATTCCACATATGCATGAAATCATACAGTGTTTGTCTTTCTCTGACTTACTTTGCTTAGTAGCTAAAACATTTTAAATGACAATTTAAAAAATACTGAAAGCTATGATGACAAGGTAAGATAGCATATACTCTTGGGAGTAAATCTGTGCTATTTTGGAAAATAATTTAGCCCTATTTATCAACAACCTCCTTTGAACTACTAATAACATATGTAGGAATCTATACTAATCAAATCAAAGGTACATAAAAAAGAATATGGAAACAGATATTGATTGTAATATTGTTTCTCATATTTTTGAAATTATAACCGAGCCAAGGTAGCCAGTAATAAGATGGTTTACATTGCAGCACATCTATGAATTAGTCTTAATCAGTCATTAACTGTAGATTTGAATAATTGTGTATAATGTAGAAAAAGTTTACAATGTTACAGTAAGTAAAAAAAAGCAAAAGTCAAACTATTTGTCTGTATACTAATATACATACTAGAAATACACATCAAAGTGTGCACACTGGTTATTGTGATTGAATTACATGTGATTTTTATTAAAGATTTTCTGTATTTACATCTTTTCTATTATAGGTTATTTTGTATTCAGAAAAATATATTTAGGTGAGATCTGTATTTTATACATGATTCTAGTTTCTGTAAATTATTTTACATTTGTCTAAGTCTTAGTTTTTTGGGATTTTTAATTTACTGTATATGTATTCATTATATATGGTTATCTTATAATAAAAGAATTATATTTGATGTATTTTTATCTGTATCTACAGCTCTGAAAGAGAATCTTTACTATGAAGCTGGCAAAATCCTTGCCATTTCTTTGGTTCATGGTGGTCCTTCACCTGGTTTCTTTTCTAAAACCTTGTTTAACTGCCTTGTTTATGGACCAGAAAATACCCAACCAATTTTAGATGATGTTTCAGACTTTGACGTGGCACAAATTATAATCAGGGTAAGAAATGGACTTGTTTATTAAAATACAGACTACATCCTAGTTATATTTGAATGTAAATGCTGGATCTACAATAGAATAATACTCTTTGTGCAGTAATCAAGAGGCATTAATATTTTTGTTTACCAGCAGAGTTCACAAACAAGATAGATGTTAAGGTCAGACAACTAGAGATCAAAGGGCCAGGTGTAATGTTGATATAACTAATTAGATAATGTGACTTTGGTCTGTGGTCAAAGTGGTTTGTTAACACTTCCCAGAATTAGATGGATTTTTCTACCCTGCCAGAGACAATATAAGGCAGGTTCTTATTGTCTGCTAGATTTCAGATGAAAGTGCACTTTCTATAGGCAGGTGGATCTGCAAAGAGGAAGGACTTGGCTTACCAGTCAAAAAACTTAGTCTAACTCCTACAGGTGAGATAAGTGTGATAGGTGGAGAGAAGGACCAGGCTGAATTTCTTCTTTATGGAAGCAAGTGGGGAGACTCAATGTTTCCACCTAAAAATAGTTACCATAGCCCTGTACTACATATTACCTGTACAAACTCAATTTAGTTATCATAATGCCCTACAAGTATCATTGCCTACATGTTACTGATTCAGAAACTAATTGAGACAATGAAAGTCATCCAACTTTTTTTCCTTTAACCTTCTTCCTGCTTAACCTTCTTAACCTTCTTCCTGCTATCCATTGTCTCCATTAATAGGCAGGATAGTTTAATGGTTAAAAGCAAATGCTCAGAAGTCAGATTTTAGTTTGAAATAACTGCTATAAGCTGTGTGACCTTGGGCATGTTAGTTAATCTTGGTAAGCCTCAGTTTCAAAATCACAAAGTAAACAACATGGAAGTGTGTCCTTTATTTGACTCAAGATGTGTCATCCTAAAATGGTAGTTTAAATTGATCCTTTAACTCAACTGATTTTTCCTTTTCTCCTCTTTACCAAAACATGTACTTTAGTAGAACTTCATTGTCTCAGCTTCCTCTTTCCTACTCATTTCTTAACTTCTTATAGTCAGGCTTCTGTTCCCACAGAACATTCTCCCAAGTTAGCGAGTTTGTAGCTGATTCCAGGGATCTAAATCACCACATGCAAAGGCCTTTCTTTCCTAATTCCTCATATCCTCCTTTTATAATCACCACTGTCTTTGAGTTTATCTCTTCTGTTTTCTTTAATACTACATTTCTTCCTACCCCTGAAACTTGGGTATTATTCCATGTTATCCTAACAGTCCTCCCTCTGTACTATTTGGAAAGCTGCTTCTTGCCCATAACCTTTCTGAATGATTCCCAGACCTCTGTTTTTGAGCCACCAGTCCTTTATATACAGATAGGGTCTGAGTCTTTCTAACACACTGAGCCCAACATGTTTAATAAGACAGAACTGTTTTTTCCCCAGAATTTTTTTTTTTTTAGGTAATTTGCTTTTCAAAAGATTTCTTATTTCCATGGCTTTCTGGAGAAAGGGCCATTTTCATTCTTCCATATTCCATTTATCAGTATGTGTCAAGTCATCTTATCTCTAAAAGTGAAGTTTATCTTCAGCATTTCCCTCTTCTTTTTTTTTTTTTTTTTAAGATTTTATTTATTTATTTGACAGAGAAACACAGCGAGAGAGGGAACACAAGCAGGGGGAGTGGGAGAGGGAGAAGCAGGCTTCCCGCTGAGCAGGGAGCCTGATGCAGGGCTCGATCCCAGGACCCTGGGATCATGACCTGAGCCAAAGGCAGACGCTTAACGACTGAGCCACCCAGGCACCCCTTCCCTTTTATTTCTAATGTATTTACTATACCAAACTGAAATTATTTCTAGGTTCAAACAATTAGGATATTATTCTAATATTCAGGATGATTCTTTTAAAAGTAGTTTTGATAACATTGCTTTCTTCCTCAGGAATCCTCAGTGGCTTCTCATTGCCTAGTGAACAAAGTTCAAGCTATTCATTAGGGTATTTAAGACTTCCAACTCCTCTCATTGCTTTATTTCTGTTTTTGTGCTCCTATCCAATGTTTGTTTGTTCATTTAGTCAACAAATAACTATGTACCTCATATTGTTTCATCATTGAAGATACAGTAGTGAACTAAAGTCCCTTCCTCCTTGAAATTTACATTTAGAGGAAACACAGAAGATAAATAGATAATACACTGTCATATAATAAAATGTATTGTAAAAATAAAAAAGAATAAGAGAAAGGAGATAATGTTTGGGGTATAATAAGTTGGAGCTTAGGCTAAGCTTCTGTAACAGAGACCCCAACAGATATTTTATTTCTCTAAAATTTGTTATCTAGATTTTAGTGTAAGGATTGGCAAATTATGGCTGTAGGCCAAGTCTGGCCTGCTGCCTGTGTTGTTGTAAATAAAGTTTTATTGGAACACAGCCATACCCATTTCCCATCTGTTATGTGTATGACTGCTTTCACACTATAGTGGAAGAGTTGAGTAGTTGTGACAGACATCCTGTAGCCCACGAATCATAACGTGCTGTCTGGCCTTTCAGATGGCTTGTATTTTAGCAGTATGGTTATGGTATACCAAGACATCTAGGGAATTTGATTCCTTCCTCTCATTGTGTAATCACTTAGGATATCGCCTTCATCTACATGAAGCTTGCTCTTAAGGGAGGAAATGGAAGTAGGGTTCAGGGAAATTTGACACATTTTCACTCACATTCCTTTGGATAGCTCTTAATCACATATAGCCACATTTAGCTGCAAGGAAAGTTTGGCTGTCAACTAAAACTCAGGGTGGTGGGTTTGGGACCAAAAGTAATATTTACCTAACTATTAGTCTCTGACAGTGTGTGAGGTAGTATTTTGAACAGGGTAGTTGAAAAACTTCTGGAATTTCAGCAGAGATCTGAAGTGAATGAGGGAAATCATATAAATCACTGGAAAAAGTTTATTGGAAGGAAGAGATAAAAAGGAAATTTTGTATTCAAATGAACCATTGACTGCTTCCTATTTTTAATCTTTCCCTGTGTAACTTTTAAAGAGCTAACCTGTATGGAAGTGTCTGGCACATAAATGGTCAGGTGTTCCTTTGTTTATACTGTTTCCTGAACTCTTTTGATTCTATCCCTATTTTAAGTCCCTCATTAAGTCTTTAAGGCCAGATAGCTGATATTCTTTCTCTTTCATGAAATCTCAGGTTATTTCACTTGCCTCTCTAGTGCTATGTAACTATTGTGTGTCAGTTATTATCTCTTATGTAAATAATTTCCTATATTAAAGTGGCAGTTTACTGTAGGTTTCTTGAAGGCAGAAATTGACACTATTTATTAAACTGGATTGTCCTTTATTCTAGAAAAATAATTCTTGATATACTTTTACTCCACGGTGGTGTTCTCCAGAATTGACTATAAAGTAGTAAGTGTCATTTGAAATGCAAATATCATTCACAAGTTAAGTGAGTAAACTGGGTATATTTTCTTCTTTGTTATAGGTAAATACTGCAACAAATGTGGCTGACTTAAACTCAGTAGTAAATGAATGCTATAACTACCTAGAGCTTATTGGATGTCTAAGACTTATAACTTCATTAAGTGATAAATATATGTTGGCAAAAGACATACTAGTTTACCATGTAATTAAGAGAGTCCAAGCACCCTTTGAAAGGTAAGTTGTTTATATGTGATTCTCTCAAATTACATGTTTAAAGTGATTGTCTTATAACATGAGATGTATTTGATAAAAATTTGAATGCTATTTTAAAATAATGCTTTAAAACTAATGTCTTAAGGATGATTACCGTTCTATTTTATACAGAACTGCGTAAATGTATGATGCTTGGGTAGGAAAAGTAATCATTATCTCAACTTACAATTTTTCTAAATCAAAAAAATTTTTAAATTCTTAGCATGTAAGCCAACTATTCCATTTCTACTCATTCATTTAATAACTATTTATTGAGTACATGTTGTCTGCTAGGTAATAGGTACTAAACATTCTTTGATTAACAAGGTAGATATGAGTCTTGCTCTTCATTAGCTTAGAGCACTGGTTCTTCAGACATTTTGTTCTCATAATCCTTAAAAGAAGTTTGAAAACTTTTGTTCTCACATTTTTCTGTTTGTTTTAATACTGTAAAATGTATATGAAAGTAGGCAGAATGGTACACCATGCAGTTACCACACAGATCTAATAATTATCAGTCAACCTGTAGCCAGTCTTGTTCATCTAGCCTACCTTTATTATTGACTCCAGGATTCTTTTCTATCCTTTTTTTTTTTTTAATTTTTTAAAAAATATTTTAGAGAGTAAGCACTCATGGGGGGAGGGGCAGAGGGATAGAATGCTCAAGCACACTCCGCGTTGAGCGTGGAGCCCTACGTGGGGCTTGATCCCACAACCAATGAGATCATGACCTGAGCCGAAACCAAGAGTTGGTTGCTTAACCGACTGAGCCACACAGGCGCCCTGACTCCAGGGTTATTTTCAAGCAAATTCCAGACATAATATCATCTCAGAAGTGATCATGTTTTAAAAACTTTCAGTATCATTAACCCATAGATTTAAATATATTTAATGTGTTCACAACCATTCACTTCTTAACCTTACTGGAGTTCTCATTGTCTCCATGTTTGGCCATTGTAAATGTTCTTACGTTGTTTCTTTTGAGTTCTTTTTGATGTTGACCTTAATGATCTTTTATAGCTTTCTTGGCATATGGTATATAGCAAGGTATTTCAGGCTCATTTTGTGCATTTTGGACTGAGGAATCTTTGTGTCTTTGAATGATTCCAAACTACAATCTGGATGGTAGGGATGCTTATTTTTGCCAGATTGGTCATTGTTTCTAGGCCTTTTCAGTGGACCCAAACTAGGACATAAAGGGTTGTTTTGGTTTGGTTTTGGTTTCAGTTTTTTAGGGTAAAATGTGTCTTGCATTTTACTGATACTTCAAATTCACTACTACAAGATTTTTAACCTTTTCTTTGTCCCATGTTGAGAATCTCCATTATCAACTTATGAACAACACAGGAGAATTAGAGTATGAAATAATTACTTGATTTATTCCACATTTCATAAACAATAGTCTCAAGTAACATTACCAACATTATCACCAATAACATATTATTATTGAAAACAGGTTAACATTTTTCTAGGGCTGTGTAGTGAAATTACTATATTTTAAAGACATTTGGAATATTTATTCTGTGTTGTTATATTACCAACTGTATATCCATTTTATTTTCATTATTTTATTTTTAGTGATTTTTAAAAATTTCATTTTTTTTAAAAGTTCTGTAAAATATTTGCATGGTTCCAAACTCAAATTATAATGGAAGTATATCGAAAGAACTCAGCTCTATGATGTAAATTGCATTCAAAGAAGTATAGCTTTCATCCTTATCACATCTACTTTTCATCCCCTTATGAAGTCATCATTTTAGTGGCTTTTATTGTTTACCCTCCTATTATTTGTTGTTTTTTAAATGATAGCAGATAAATATGTGTGCATATGTACTAATTTCTTTTATTAGATAAATAGTAACACACCATCCACTCTTTTTCTAGTCAATTTTTAAAATTGGCAATATATACTGGAGGTCACTCCATAGTAGTAAATACATCTATTTTTAGAATCTATATCACATGGCCTTTTCCTCTGTGTGTGTATCTTATAAAGACACTCGTCATTGGATTTGGGGCCAGCCCAAGTAATCTAGATAGGATGATATCAAGATCTTTAATTATATCGCTTAGAATTTTTTTCCAAATAAGATCACATTCATAGGTTCCAGGAAATAGGATGTAGACTTACTGGCAGGGTTGGGGGGCTAGGACTCCAGTCTACCTCAGGATAAATGACAGTATTGGGGTTTATTTTTGGCACATACCTAGAGCTACAACATGGAAAATGAACTCGGGAATTTGCATACCTGGTAACGCAGTTCCTCTGCAGGTAGTTTGTAATAGGGTGGTAAAGGGGTATATAGAGAAATAAGCAGATAAAAGGGATTACAGACAAATTCATAGGACTTGGTAATAAGAAATGGAAGAGTAAAGAGTTAAGGGGGACTTCTAGATTCAGCTATACTCATTTGATGGATAATGGAGGCATATGCCATCAATTATGGTTTAGATTTTAGTAGTAAGGTCATTAACTTTTTTTTGCACTTAATAAGTTTGGGTACTTGGACTATATGGTTCCCATTAGCCTGTTGGATATATTTCTGGGCTAGAGATAGATTTTATTTTTAATTTATTTTTTTTAAGACAAGCCAGATTTTATTTTATTTTTTAAGATTTTTATTTATTTAAGAGCGAGACAGAGAGCACGAGCAGGGTGAGAAGCAGAGAAAGAAGCTGACTCCTGGCTAGAGCAGGGAACCCAATGCAGGGTTCAGTCCCGGAACTGCGGGATCATGACCTGAGCCGAAGGCAGACGCTTAACCGACTGAGCCACACAGGCTCCCCAAAATAATAGATTTTATAGTGATGAGTGTATGCCTGCTAAATAGAGCCATGGGAGAGGGTAAGGGAGAAGAGAAATTGGCCTTGTTAAAGATCCAGGAGGCACAAATAGCAACATTTAAGGCAAAGTAAAGAAAGAAGAAGTTTGTAAGAGACTGAAAAGATCTGGCCAGAGAAATAAGGGAAACCAGAAGACCGATGCCATAGGAGATCATTCGTAAGTTAGGGCAGTTTTTCCTCAGGCTTAGACAGGAGTGGAATAAAAGTGAATGGCAATTAGCAAATGAAGACAGTGAATGTAGCTAAGTCTTTCAGGTAGGTTGTCTTAAAGGAAAACATGGGATTGAATGAATTTTTTTTCCATTTAAAGATGGGAAAGATAAGCACATTTTTGTGCTCTTGAGAAAGAGCCAGTAGAAGGGGAGATGAATCTGTAGCAGTGTACCTGTGCATTTAAAATAATTTACTTGTTACTTGTATTTTGTTAATTATCCATTCATATTTTGCTAATTTCCTATTAAATTGTTCTTTTAGAAAAATGATTTATATTTTTTGTATATTAGAGAAATTAGTTTTCTGTCATATATATTCCCACTTTGTTTTGTCTTTGTTAATTTCTTTTTAGCAGTACATAAGTTTAATTTTTTTGTGGCCAAGATTTATTGCTCTTTTTCTTTGCAGTTTCTAGGAAACTTCATTTTATACTATAATTAGCTTTGAAGTGTAAAATACTTCACATGTCTACATTTTTCCTTTTAAAATTGTTAGCTTATTTTTATTTTTTATTTTAATTTTAAAACTATTTTATAAAATCAAATAGTGTGGGCAGATAAAATTAATTTTATATTAATATACTTGATATTGTCTTAAAAGTATCATATCATGTATATCTATATTATTATATATTTTCCTCCCATCTAAGTATATGTGATAGTAAATTAGCTAGAGATGTTAATTTGTAATTGTAATACCAAACACGTGTATGAATGTTGACTTATTGTTTATCTTCTCTTAAGTTTTAAGCAGGGTCTGAAAACTCTTGGTGTTTTGGAAAAAATTCAGACTTACCCGGAAGCCTTTTATAGCATCTTCTGTCATAAACCTGAGAATCTTTCTGCAAAAATTCTTAGTGATCTTTTTACAGTATGCACATTATCTGATGTACAGGCTTTGGGATTTTGGAACAGTTATTTACAGGCTGTTGAGGGTATGTGGATGTTTTATTTTTATTTAACTGTCATAGAATGTTTGTTTCAGTATATTTATTTCTTTGAGTTTTGCTTTTTGGTAATACTTTCATCTGCTAACTCCACATTTACAAAATTTATTTAAGTCAAATGTATATGACTGAGTTCAAAGTGATGAAAGATTACAGAGTAAATTTCAATTTTGCAATTTGTTTTCCTCTAGATAATTTGAGGTGAAAGACATTCTTCCTAGAAAACTATATGGGTGACTGCCACAGCATAGAATAATCTTAAAGCTAATTATCATTTATTTCATCTTTTTCAGTTTTAAGTTAAACATCATTGAGCATTAGCAATGTAAAATCATTCCATTTAATAGAGTGGGAAAGATTTAACCTTGAGTTGAAATTCTTTTTTAGGTAGGTTATTCAGTTGTTTTTTAGTTTTCCTCTCTGAGTTTGATGAACTAGTGTATCAAAAAGTGATGATCTAGAAATGGCTTAAAATTATTTTTACTATCATGCCCCCTGAACCTCTTGGATTATCTGATAATTTTATATTAGAGAAGACATTCAAATATATAATGAGTAGTTCAACTAAATGACTTTCTGAGTTATACTTTGAGGTTCAATTGAACATTTATGGAGTGTACTATTTTCCTGTTACTGCGCTTGATCTGGTGATTTATTTTGCCCAAGATAGATAGATGTTAGTCTCTTAAATATTCCCTGTCTAGTTGGGAAAGAGTCTATGATGATAGTAATATATATAACATAGATTTTCTTTTTTGGTAAACTTTTCAGATGGTAAATCTGCAATAACAATGGAAGACATTCTTATTTTTGCAACTGGTTGCAGTTCCATTCCACCTGCGGGATTTAAACCCACTCCTTCAATTGAGTGCCTTCATATGGATTTTCCTGTTGGAAACAAGTGTAATAACTGTTTAGCTCTTCCAATCACCAATACATATCAAGAATTTCAAGAAAATATGGACTTTGCCATAAGAAACACTCTAAGACTAGAAAAGGAAGAAAGTTCTCACTACATTGGACATTAAAATGTTTTGAACAAAGAAGTGCTTCTTTACAAGCTGCTATTGATACTTTTTGTTTCAGAAATCTGTCCATTATTTGAACAAACTTGTCAGCTTCTTGGCCCAATAAAATTTATATGAACATAAAGGAATGTTTTGGCCACTTAAGCTAAAAAAATTTTTTGTTAACGTGTACCAGTCAAAGTGATGATACTTTTCTATTTTCTTAATATACACGTGTCATAAACTTTAATATAAATAGTTTTAAAACAGCTGTACAGACTTTTTTCAAGTATAATAGCATGGTATATATATTCACTGTTTCTGCAAATTAGCATTAGCTATAGGATGCCACAATGATTTTTCTAGTTTTATATAATTTTCAAATTATTTTATTTTAAAGCATTAAATAGAAAAGCAAATTGATAAATCCTGTTATATAAATCAAAGGCATATATTCTGGGATATGTGTTATAAGTATTTTTTCTAGGATGGCTCTAAATTGGATAAAAATATTTTTAGATTACTGTTTTATGTTTAAACAGACCCACACTGCAATTAGATTATGCCTAATGGGAAGTATTATATGAAAAAGCAGAATTGCACAAATATTCTAGAACCTATGGACATTCCATAGTCTTAAGAACACTTCTGAGGTGGATAAAGTATAGTTGAAAATATCTTAAAAAGTGTTTAAAGGCTGGCTTTAATCATAGAATTTTCTTTTTTTCTCTGTATCCCATGTGTGGTATTAAGCCACATTATGTCTGATCCAGAATCATGTGGGGTGTGTCAATTTATCTCTGTGGATTGCCATGTGATATATTTGACTCTGACAGTTATTTATTATCAAGTTGGTTGTATGATAGGTAAGCTGGTACCATTGCATTATACAGTTACCTTCTTTGCTCTTGAAAGGTATCTGTTATTATATAACCAATGTAAAAATATGTAAGAAAGAAATACAAATAGAATGAAAAACCCACTCTAATCTCACCATGCAGAATTAACTACTGTGTTTCATTCATTCTATAAACTATTTACCTTTCCTTTCCTTTTAAACTTTATTAATGTTACTAAAAGTCAAAGAATATCTAAAAGTAATAAATCATGTAATAACAATTTGAAGGTACATAGTCCCATAGTCATGTCCCCATGTTTATATTCTTGCAAAAGAAGAAAGTGGAAAAGTTTTATGTTCCTAATCTATTATCAAACATAAATGGGTCTTCCACCAAAGTAAATTTAAATTGGATGAGAGGTAAATCATTATGAGAGGTTGGTTTTAACGTCATTTTTTTTATATACAAAGCAGGTAACAACTATCATCATATTCTCATCCTCCCCAAGACATCCTTAAATTATTGATATTTTCAAAGAAAAACAACAGGACTGATCTGATACTGGTGATGTATCTCTTAATACCAAAGGAAAACTAAAACATAAATTAAACCCAGCAAATTAAAGTTTCATTTTAATTTGAAGTTTTTAAGAACATTATACAAGGCATTTATTTGTCTTGTATTGAATTGTTAGATCATCAAAAGTAATTCAAGGATTGATTAAGAAAGTTTGAATATCTAATATAAACTTCAAATTTGCCATACAGCTTTTATTCCAGATGTGTTGATAAATTGGATATTTCTCAACCGTACCTAGTTTTTATAAAAAGCCATTAAAGCAATAGAAACCAAAAAATCTAATTAAAGCTATTTTCTGGTCATTTGTAGTTTTAATTTCTCCTACAGTGGTAATTAAAACTGATGAACATTCACACAGTTTTGGGGTGGGATGGGGTTGTAAGGGAAGCAATGTGCTTGGGTTGACTAATTAAAAACAGTATTTCAGCTCTCATTTCACTATTTTATGTGTAGACAGGGCCTTGGGATAAGGTGTGATGTAAATAGGATATTCACATTTTAAAGTGAAGCATACTCATTGCAAAGCATTTTCTAGGTTTAAGGATGTTACATAAGTTTGATTTTTAGGTTAGTTTATATAGTCAAGGCATAGTAGAGAATCCTATAGGTTATTTATTTTCTGCAGTGTTACTAGGTCACATGGTAGATGCTGTGATGTTCTTTTTCTATTCATTGTTCTAGTCAGTACACAACTCTTACTGATTTTTAAAAGTAATTATGCTATAAAGCCTTATAAATGTGTATTTGTATTTCTTAACTATTTCAGTCATCTAAATGTCATATATTTCATATTCATTTTGTTTTCTATTGCTCTCAATATTAAGGAAAACCATAAAGTCATCTATTGTACATTTACTGTTAATAGTCTGATTAGTTTTAAATTCATTGTTTTTAGACACTTTTAAAAACTTTTAGTATGGGAACTTCATCTGAAGACCTTTTATACAATTCTTTACTATTCTTGTACTTAGTCATTTTAATGTTTTAGTATTTAAGGTTAAAGTTTCTTCAAAATATCTTGTCAGAAACTGGGATATGATTTTATACATTGTAATATTTAATTTACATATTATGAATAAGCCATTATTTGGGTCAAGTAAAAAGCTTTCATTTGATTACTAACCTGAGAATTCACTTTGGCTTCTACTTTATGCCAAACTTGTAATAATTTTTTCCCTAAATTTGTGGAAGCTATTGGAACTCAGTGCTGAATGCTAAGTAAAGGAGATTATAATAGGTAAGTTTTCTCCATGAGTTCGCCTTTAGTATTTAGTCATTATAAGAAAATGATTAGAACAAAAATTCTATTTATATGTAATTCTTTGATATAGGGATTATCACATTCTTCATTGTTAGTTTTACAATAAGCTATTAAACTAGTGTTTATGCTTTAATGCAATACAAAGTTTTATGCTTCAAGTAATGCAATACAAAGTAGAACACATTGAATAATGGATTACTTGAATGTATATGTAGTTTAGAAAAATTTGGATTGCTTTGAAAAGATCCAATTTTCAAGTTCTCATTTAGACTGTTATCTTTTCCAATTGCCAAACATATTCCAATACCTACTGTATGCCAGATATTATGCTAGGTGATAGTTGATGTGGCAGCCTATTCTCCTCTCCCCCTTTTTTGACTTCAGATGTAACCAGAAAACATGATACTTATAATGACGTTTCCTAAATAAATATGTTCATGCTACTAAATGTGAAGTGCTTATATGAACTAAGTTAAATAACTTGTTAGGATTTATTGAGGTTAAGATTCTGACAATACTAAATAGATACAAGTCTTTTTCATATTTGTGAGATCCTGTAAGAAGTTGTTGGCTGACACCTGAGAACCTCTCTTGAATGAGCCATTCTGAGACATTCTGTGTTAATACCTATTCCCTAATGTAAAAAAATTGTTTGCCAGAATAAATTATTTAAGCCAAAAATCTGCATAGGTATAGCCAGTTAGTTAAAAGTCTACAGTAAATTAGGTTAACACTTTGAAGCCATAGTTTGATTCTTGCTGATTCTAAGAATGCATAACAAATTCCTCTCTCAATCTCAGCCTTACAGGTTCTATTTGTCTACTGCCACTATTTTGTGGGATATATTTTTTTATACTTTTTTTGCCCACCTTCTGTGCACTCCTTGGTCAGAACAGTTTTTATCATTTCATATGTATATACTGTATATAAATGTTAAACATTGTCTTAATGTTTTGTATTAATATGACTCACAGTCTGAGGAAGAAGTCTGTGAGAACTGAAATGGTTAGCTGATAGATTTGCATTTGAAAATGAAAGTACCCAAATGAACAAGATTGGGCTCTCAGATATTGGAAGATGGTAAAAAGTGTATGTTTTACTTTCCATGAAGACAAACGATGAAGTAGAACTTTCCCCTAGGGCAGGAATTGTCATTTCTGTTTAATTACAGTACACTTAGATCATTGGTGATTCCTTCAAAATAACACTGAAGAAAACAGTAAATACTCCCAACAGTAAATTTCTTAGTGATTATGCCAATTAGCTGTAAAAATGAGAGATGATGCAATTCTTAAAGGTAAAGAATGTAGGTTCATAACCTTTTATCAACCTATTTTTCCCACCCACCAGCCCCTGGTAGCCACTCTTGGTCTGTTTCCATGAATTTGGCACCTTTTTTTTTTTTTTTAGATTCCACATATAGTTCATTTGGTGTAGTGACAACTTTTCAGCTGTAAGATGAATAAGGTCTGAGACCTAATATATAATATGGTGACTACAGTTGATAACTATTGTATAATTGAAATTTGCTGAGTAGATTTTAAATATTTTCACCTAAATAAACGAATTTAAATATATGAGGTAATGGATGTGATAACTAGATGAGGGGAATCCTTTCTCAGTGTTATACTTCTATCAAATCATTAACGATGTAAACCTTACTTTCCAAATTTTGTCAATTATACCTCGATAAAGTCGAAAAACTTTTTACACAAAAATAACTAAAATCATGGGCGCCTGGGTGGCTCAGTTGGTTAAGCGACTGCCTTCGGCTCAGGTCATGATCCTGGAGTCCCTGGATCGAGTCCCGCATCGGGCTCCCTGCTCAGCAGGGAGTCTGCTTCTCCCTCTGACCCTCCCCCCTCTCATGCTCTCTCTCTCTCTCTGTCTCATTCTCTCTCTCAAATAAATCTTTAAAAAAAAAATAACTAAAATCAGTTATCAAGAGCGGATACGTTTTGTCATCACATGGCTTCACGCGTGTATTAAAATACCAGTTCTGTCCACTAACCTCCCCCACGTTATGTGATCTTGCAGTTACTTAAAAGGAAGGGAGGATACCAATTTGCCATTTTGTACCTTTCTAGCTCGTGTGTTCATGTAGGCAAAACACCATAAAACTAAACCATTTTGCTTAACAGATGAGATTGAGAAATCTGCCAGAATTTAGAGCAATGCTCCAAAACTGCCTTGTTTCCCCGAAAAAGTGGGCAAAGGAGGGACCTCTACTGTACTTGGAAACAGAAATGAGCTAGCATTTAAACGCCTACTTTGTTCCTGGAGCTTCATTTACTTCAGTCCAGTGATCCTTAAACCCCTAGAGCATTCTCAACATTTAAGAGATCTGAAAACGACCAATTTAGTATTTAATTACTAACACCACGACCAATTTAGTATTTAATTACTAGCACCACGCTCCTCCCTAAAAGTTCGATTTAAAGCAGCTACGATTTGAGAAGCTGTGGCTTCATTAGATAGGATAAAAATCCCTACTCTGTCAAAGCTGAAAGTAAACACTAGGTGTTTAGGTATTAACTCCCTGGGTCTCCCAAGTTCTGAAGAAAGCTGAAGGAGGCGGGATCCAGCCCCCAAGAGCCGCCCTCGGCCCCGCCCCTCTGGGCTTTGCTTCCGGGGCAGTCGGGGTGGCCACGTAATCCTCGGGTTGTGCTCGCCAACCGTGCAGTGGATGGTGGGAGTCAAGATGGCGGCGGCTGCAGCGGCCAGTATTCGAGAGAGACAAACCGGTACGATTTATTCCCTCTCCCTGCGGTTTTACGCCTGCGGTGGAGACAGCCTCTTCTGCTTGTCGCCCTCCCTCGGTCGCGGTGCGTGCAGCTCAGAGACGGCCCTCCAGAGGCTTAGTCCGGTTCCTAGAGCATTGAGAGCCCCTCCCCTTTTGAGTTTTTAGGGA